TGCCAAGAGACATGAAAGAGAAGTAGCAACTGCATGTAACTTATTCTCCCAATGTTACTGGTTAACGTCAAATCGAAGGAGCTTGGATGAAGTTCAGTGAAAAAACATGTTGTTGATCTGTTAAACATCTGCTGGACATGATCATGTGACCAGGCATTGCGCACAGGCTCCTGGGTCAAGCTGTAATTTGCAAACGATTGTGCACATGTACACTCACCGTACATGTTTTTTAACACTTCCGTCAGCTTTGCCAATGTATAGAACCACACCGATCTACATTCGTACACATGCTGTTTGTTCAAAAATGAATTATTTTCAACACCACAAGCATGGACAGACTTTGTAAACTTTTGACCTGGGGAAAAGTTAATCATGTGACAAGAGGGAAATAAGTTGGCCTAGTGTCTGCATGAGCGACATGTATAAGTCACGGTAAACTTGCAAGGTTCCCTCAGAAATCTAAAATTCTAATTCCTTGACTTTCCATAACTAAAATATATGACAATATCCACGGCATGGAGGTTAATTTGATGACAAGATTAACCACTGAAAGTTTGCCACAGCCACTCCTATACAGCCTCCAAAGCCTCCAACTTTATCATTAATTCTGTTATCACATTATTATTATTTTTATCATTATTCATTTATTCGGCCATTGCCTTATAGCAAACAAACATCAAAGACACCCCATCAAAAATAATCCTTGCATGGTCTTAATATCCAAGACTTTTCCCACAACTTTTTCCACTGACAACAGGATTCTAGGACACCCTATTTTTCTCAATTTTTCCAACACCACAGATAACTGCTTCTATAATCCTTTGTGCATGCATGATTAACTTGTTACGAAAACAGTTACTATTAATCACCTTGTGGCAAGATCAATGTGGCGGATATTTGAGCATATGATTTGGCCCTTCAACAGGAGATTCTGTGGAGTGGCACTGCATAAATACATATGTGACCCAGTACGTCGTAATCGGGAATAAGTCGCTGAGGCCATTTTACGTGATGGCCGAGTAAAGTGGGGATGTGGGTAAACGTTGAAACAATCAATGTGGCGGCTTCTATTTTGAAAGTGTATGTATGAAAGGTTACCATCAACACACTCGTAATGTGTACCATTTGAAAGCTTATGAAATTCTCTTTCTGTGTACAAATCTCAAACAGTCAATTTGCGACTAATTCCTGATCTCGATGTAGCAGGTCACAGACATGTATACACTGTACATGTAAGCCTACGTGCATACAGGCATGCACAAGTGTGTGAATAAATATTGCATACAAACAGCACAAGAAAATTCTTTATTTCGGCACCATGACTCATTTAAGGAGAGTTATAAAATCATAAATACCGTCTTTCTATAAATAAATCAACTTGAGTTATGAAATTATGACCATTTCTTCAAGTGGATCAATGTTTAGTACATTTGTACAAGGTCATAAGTAGGTTTCATGGCTCTTTTGTTTCAAATGAATTTCCTAACCCTAACCCTGTAGTCCAATATCAAATGTCCTGGTTTTTATGAACTTTGGATTACCAGCAGGAAAAAGCTTGGAACAATGGATACAGCGTGTACGCTTCACCATGCCGCTGTTGCAGGAAGTTAAACAGTATTTTGATAACAAATGCATGAGATGCGAGTTTATGTCCCTTCCTACATGTAGGCCTCTTATGGCATACTTGGCTGCTGGTAGGTTTTGTTGTGCAATTTTTCCCGACAATGGAGACGAACAAATTCATGCAGGAAAACTTCCATATTGACGGTATTATGGGATTTGCATTTGAACGAGGCCATTCCACCCGATAACGTCCGTAACATAGAAGAACTTATATCAAATTATAATCAAATTCATGATATCAAAGCGCAAGCTTTCCGTGAGGGCATTCATGCTCGACACACACAACGAGCAGTTGCAAGCCAATATCTTGCAAATGCACACGTACAGTATGTGTGTACGGTGCCTGCCGGCATTTGGATGTCAGCCAACTGATGCCAATAAATTTTGCTATCTATAAGAATCGTTTAGTTTCATGACACCACTAACGGTAAATCTCTTGCGGGGTTGTTGTCAATTTTCCACCTTACATTTCTGATGACACCATAACCAGGGTTAAACCTTCATTGGATTCGAACCTTCAACAGTCACGCAGTTGCTTCACTGCTCAGCCAGCAACCTAGCCCACAACTAGGAGTGGTTCGAATCCTGGGAAGACAGGAAAGCTGGAGAAAAAACACGGGGTACGAACTTACCAAGTCAGTGACCAGTGCTTCTAGGAACTTCACGCCATAGAGGTCAACGACCAGCTTACAGGTTGTGGCCTCAGACCCCAGCTTATTACAGAGATCTTTGATGACAGAGAGGATCTCCGACTGAGAAAAAAATTACATCATTATACAATTTGGTCAACAAACCAAAAGTCTATCTTCTCCTTCGAAACACTTTGACAGTTTCAAAATTTGATCTTTTCTTGAAGAAAAATTTTGCTCAATAACTTGCTTCCAAGATCCTTGGAAATGCTGTTACTGGCCGACATAAAGGTTTATCAAGATGACTTATGAAGGCCTCCATGAAAAATGCAACGAAGGAGTTACAAAAGATTTCCCATTTCCTTTGGCGACCTGATTGTTACGTTGCATAAACTGACTTCAGACAGAGCATAATGAACTGATGAGAGATGGATGTGACCTCTAACCATGTGGCTGCCATAGGCGCACTTTTTTGTTTCAAATGCCATTTCTCAGGTTCTGCAGAGTTGGTGGCAGCAGTAAGGCATTTGACAGACAAGGAGTCAGCCGCTGTCACAACTTACCTGGACCTCTCCATTATTGAGAACGTCTTTGACGTCGGAGACGAATGACTTACAGTCATCGCAAGCACTGTCCTGAATCCGAAGAATCAGAAAAGGGCATATTAGGGGTGGGAATTTACGTTCAATTTGAAAAAAGTTTACAAAAACCTTGCCATACCGTTTAAACGTTTAGTCGACACTTTACAGAGGCTGCAGTCACCTATCTCGGTGGTTTCATATATAGGCATAATATAGTAAAAAATGTACATGGACCAACCTATGTGTAAAAATGTAGATTGATGTCGGGGCATTTAAAACAAGCAATGTTTATTGTTTTAGAACCCACTTTTTTCTCAAAAAGTAAATGGATGCCGGAAGGGGAAACAATAGTATGTAACAGGCATCGTTTACAATAACTATGAACACCAGATTGCATCAATTAGCACGTCAAACCTCTAAAAAGGGGTAGGTTCATTTAAACGTTTCGGAAAATCTGTAAATGGATTTGGAACTTTTTTTAGTTTATCCATTTAAAAGTGTAAAGCCTCCATCCTTATTACACATCACTGCCAAAAAAGGCTCGGAATGATTAACAAAATGCTGCCAAGTTGGACGTTCCCCAGAGTTGTGGACACAGTAGCGGCAGCGACAACTCTGGGTATAGCACACTTACCTCCACCGTTATCTGTGCCCAGTCGTTCTGGATGCAGTACTTGGTGGCCCCCTCCCCACATTCCTTCGCTTTTAGAGGGTGGTCGCACCAGTACGCAGGACCCCACGTGCAATGCTCTGTTCCGATGGAAGCAGCACTGGCTGCAAATGAGATATTTAAAAACCGGGTGTGCAGTTAGAATCGCAAAGAATTCTGTATATATGGACACCACCTATTTTTCCTTACAGTCACGTTCATGTAATAGTCATTTGAAAGCAATGAAATTATCAATCAAGTCAAATTTAGCAAGGAGGATATTGAGGTATTCACTAAAAAAATATTTGTACTCCACTTTTTGGCGGCAAGTCTCAAGCAACATCTGTACATGTACATGAAAACCACTCTCAAACAATTCTACAGACTAGAGCTAAGAAGATTTAATCACAAAATATGTGGGTGAATTTGGGTCATCCAGATGAAATGCCCCCATCGCCTTGGTCATCAATTCAATGTGGGTTGAATGATCATATTGGGCGTGATCGCTAGATCACTTGCAATCAGTTGATCGTCCTTCGTCACAGGTTGATCCTGTGTAAAAGATCCTTTCCAATTCACAGCTTCAGTGAATTGTTTTAAAGTTTGACATTTTGGAAAGAGTTCCGTATACGGACAACACTTGACACCCCTGTCATGCCTGTGCACAAACCTATATGAGCATAATCAGTATCAGTATGAGGCATGTCTGAATGGGTAAATGCTTCCGAATTTCGTGACTTTTCTCTACTAACTCTCATTTTTTAGGGCTTATAGGCCTATTATCACTTTTTGACGGCTGCTACAACATTTTAAGGGAAAATTAATAGTGTTGTCCATACATGGAACTCGGGCCAATGGGGGGCGGCTACATTCAGAAATGTACATTCCATTGTTTATTTATCTAGTTTTATTTTTGTGCATTTTTGTATTTTAAGTCATATTTTATCTAGTGTTTTTCTTGTATTTGTTGACATTTTTATGGAGACCCTCTCGACAGTGACTGAGTTCGCATTTAAGTTTAAGGCTATCCGTCAGGGGTGTCAGCAAATATTGTTCCTATATGTTAATCGGTTTTGTATTTTGTGTGGGTTTTTGTACCCTGAGAAATAATAATGAAATGAAACTCTTTCCATGAGTACAAGCAACCATGGAGGAACGGCTGTGAAGCAACATTGTTTCGTACCCCTAGCTCTTTCTTTGTGATTTAAAAAGTAATGTTACAAACGGGGCCCAAATCTACAAGCATTGCTTTCGTTGGGTACCCCTCTACAGCATCCTCTCAAAAGTGTATTGTACAAGTATCATGCAATCATATTTATGTATTCATTAAACGTTTTACTATCGTGTGTGATTATTATGCTGTAGAAAATGAAATAAATCTTGCATCTTGAATTTGTTTCATAAGTGGTTTATCATCATGATCATAATTGGTAGTCCTAGTCATTAATACACTGTTTGAACTTGAAACCGAGTCTAAGGCAATGCCAATGGAAGGAGGAAAGATCGCACGAAATTAATAGGAATAACATTGCCTTACCTGTTGCCAGAAATGCCGCAAAAAGGATGAGTTTCATTTCCAAATGAGTACTGAGTAGTACACTGGTGAAGCTTTGCCAGGAGGACGAGTTTAATAAACAACCATCGGATCAATGGCCTTATCGTTTGCAGATCAAAATTAACGTCTGCGCTTCACGCGACGCGGTGCGGCCCACATTTGTTGACACGATAAAAGGACTTTTGACTGAAGGTAACGCGCCTATGTGGGAAAGCATTTTATCAACGGCTGTCGTGACCCAAGTGTATGTGGGAATACAAACTTAAGTCCAGTCAGTATCACGTGCGCCCGTCATCACGTGCGTCCAGAGGTCACGGTGTTACGCCATCGAACCATGCATTGTATCACGGAGCAAGGAATTCCTTGCTCTCGGATTGTATTGTAGTAATCATGTAGGATGTTTCGATATTTCTTTTCAGTGAAAAAAGGGTCCTTCTCGTCAAATTAATATTTTCTTAATCCGTCCATGAGTGATATTCGTACGGTGAAATCATTTTTACCACGGGTTATTTTTCATTAATCTGATCGGAGTTACGCGCAATTTTTTCCGTAGGCTGGTGAGGGGCAGTTATCATATAATTATGGGCGTGTTTCAAGATGTACTTCGGGGAGATGTTAACTTAATGGTTTTGCCCTTACCCGACGTATATATTTATAAACACTGTAAACTTAGAGCTTGCCCAAGAGCTTGCCAAAAATTCACAAATTTACTCGGATTGTAATCGAACCAACGACAACCACGCCCAGATATGGGCGTGGTTAAATGCAAGCTCATCGTAGCCGCACGAACGGCACCCTAGGTGGACGTGGACACGTAGGGTACGTTTGCGCAGTTACTCCCGTTAACACGAGTAGGATGCGTGCTCATTACACTTGGGTATATAGGAGTATGCTCATCCCCCTCTGGCGAGCCTCGCTGACCCTCGGGTCGAGCGCTCAGGGGTATACTCGGGCAAAAAATCAATGTTGCTGTATGTTTTTGTTAAAAGTTCGTCCACCCCATTTATAACTGTTTCCAACCTTCCCGTGAAAAATACGCAGGCGCAGTTCATGATCTTGACTCACCCACCCCACCTACGGAAAAAAAATCGTGGCTTGCTTGCGCTTGTATAATATTTGAACATGAATATTCATTTATTTCCTGACAAGCTCAGTCGCGCAACTTATATAAATACACATGTATATATACATGTATATATACACACGTATTCCATTTGTGTGTGTTTCTTGGAGCGGGGAAGGTTGCCCAGACATGATCTCAAATAAATTTTGTCTGCTGCATGCAATGAGCTATGCAGAGTGCAAATAAAACCCGAGACACAGAAACAAAATCTCAAGACTCCAAGGTTCAGTTCTGAAGTTCTTATCAAATAAAAACGGCATTCGTTAAATTAAGTGGTTAAAAATGATTTTTCATTAAACTTGAAAAATATTTGCTGAATCCAATTTAATTCTTACACAAGTACATTGACAACCCACAAAAACAATCTGCAACTTTGTTTGCCAAAGATTGAATGTTTAATTCAACTAATTACATGTATGTCAGAACAAGCACATGAAATCGACCAATGACACCAATACACAATTTATCTGCAGTACGACGACTAAAAATGCATTGATCATGGATTATTTGCTTTTCAGGTTCTTGTAAAGCATGGATCAAATGGAAACGGGTAGGGCTTCTGAAATGCATGAACAAAATCCTGACAACCGTTTGTACCCTGAACAGCTCAGTTATCGTTAATCTTATGTGAAAGGCTGTACAAATGTCTTCCGGGGAAAGAAGGACCGTATTTGCTACCTACCAAGGCATGGGATATTTTCATATCTCAGTTCGATATCGCAGGCAAGTGACGATTGAGTCAAATATGTTCCTACCCCCCCCCCCAAATACTACAAAAGACCAAAATGACTAGCATCTGTATCCAGCCACGGATGGGCATAACACCAAAAACAGCGGCTGCTTCAAAGTTGTCTTTAATTTTTCTCTGTGCATTCCGGGCTTCTTCAACCAATAACATGTTCACAGCTTCAGTAAAAGCATGTAAACACATGCTGATTCAATGTAAGGTTTTGTGATAAGCATGCATTCACGTACATGAAATAAAAACCAAACCATTTCAAAATGAAGCGAAGAACATATCCTGTATTATAAGTTAATGCTCTGCAACTGCTCAGCAAACTCATGAAATGCCACAAATTACAACAAGCCTTACACATGCAATCACATCAGGGTGTTGTCTTTTGTCTTGCTCGCAAGTTCATCTCTGCCGGCAAGTTACGATCCTTCGATTTTTCACTTAAATGCGCACAAAACCACAAGTGTAACATTCATGTGAGGGGTTGGAGCACACAACAGTCTGAGGGCAGCAAGTGTCCTCCCTCACAAGTGATCCTTACATTTTGGGCAAAAAGAAAATTCGGAGGAGTGCTTGTGCAGGTCTCGGAAAACTAGATCTCGGTATGACTTCAAAGTGGTAACGCTATTCCGTCACAGATTCCTCAATGATCATCAGGACATTTCAGACTCGGAGACGCTGGCGATCCAGTCCGGTGCATGCTGGTTAATCTTCTCAATGATCGAGTTCACTTGGAAGCAGAGGCTCTGAATCTGCTTGTCCCACTGTGGTAATGTTTCACGAGCTACCAAAATAGGGAACAAACATTTGGGAAATCAATAAAACACATATCAAAGTAAACTTTCCGAAACATCTTCTCAAATGCTGAACTCCACTGTCAAATGGTGAGTAACTTTCTAGTTGACTGGGTCCCAGTTGGAACCTGTTAATTATTCAAGATTGACCACTAACAGTTATATTACTTTAGCATACAACCTCAATTTACTTATAACTTGCATTCAAATGGCCTTAAAAACTACAAACACATAATGAAAGAGAAGTATTTAAACATGTAATGGATGTCATCTTTGGAGAAAAATTCAAATTAGTCCAAATCGACGAGGGACAACTTACATTCAAAATGTACGATGCTGTCAATCTGATCAATACTGCCATTCATCCGACCCTCGGAAATCATCTGAGATGCTATCTTCTCTGCCTAAAAAATTACATCCATAGAGAAATTTGACAGGTCGCAAAGATCCAAAGATTATTCGGGGTAAAACTCAAGGGTTTCTTCATCGGCGCGAGCTTTTTCCGCTGTACTCTGTCACTCACCTTTGCCGGCGGTATTTCCAGGAGGGACCCAAGTTCTTCAAACGTGATGTTGTTGTAAAGCTTGCTGGCGGACAGCAGGTTGTGCTCAATTACTGCTCTATCCAAGATACTTGAGCCTGGAAATCAAATGCAAACTTCACAAAATTGAAAAGATGTAGCCCATTCAGGATTTCTCCTCTCTAGTTGTGAAACCACTGCTATTCAATTTTTCAGCTTGGCAAGGGAATTATTAGTTACAATTTTCCTCAACTCTACCAGTCCTTGCCTCTTCAATTTTAGAATGATTGTTCACATAACAGAGTGAGTTAGGGCATCATGTGACCATCACAGGATCCCACGTGACCATCACATGACCCCACGTGACCAACATGTGACTTCCAGCTAGAATTCAAATCACTAGCTCTTTATCCAAACTGTAAGTAAAGCATTCCTTTGCTACGGTTCACCCTGACTGGTCTCATGCATAGTCTAGTGCCTGATCTTATGCCATCTTGACTACACCTCTGGGTTAGACCTACATCTCATCCTTTTACCGAAAACATCAGACCCTGAATACATCTGTCAGACACTAAGGCTGATTGGACAAGAGGAGATCATCTCCGTACCATCTGCCGTCGTCGCTTTCTGGTGTGGCTGAAGGAGGGCAGCAAACTCCTGGAGCTGGTTGCCTCGGATGATGCGATCCAGGTACATCTTCTCCAGGATGCCGTAAGACGGCAGCTGCTGGCAGCGCTCGTCCTTGAAGAGGGTGGCGAGCATGCGAGACCGCTGTTGGCCTGCAGCGAACACATCAAAAGAAGGACTTCCAGAATAACAAATTAAGGCGAAGTAATACAGATCCAATAAACCAGGCCCTGAACCTGGAACATCCAGAGAGCAGAGTAAGTGCTCAACCTACCTGGCAATGGCCTTTCAAGCCCCATAACACACAAACAACGCACCTGTAATTTTCTTGCTCCCAGCACACTGTTTGCCAAATGATATCCCATGTCAGTTTTCACAGTGTGAAGTCTGCTACCTTCAACAGACTGAAAAAGCAAAGTTTTTTTCACTGGTGCTTTTAATCCAATGTCTCGTATCAGGGAGTTATTTTGCAAGAGCTTTTGTAAATTCTCCCAAACCTGCACTTTGCAGTTAGCCCAATGGCACATTCTTCCAACTTGAACTTTCAAAGGGTATAAATTCCATGTAAAGTAGCATCACAGGGCAGTTTCAAACAGTGACAAATTATCAATCAATGGTCGATTTTGACTGGTAAACTATGCATGAACAATATACCGGGCACCAGGCAAATTCGACAAATGATCAGCAAACTGTCGCTGATCAAACTTGCCAAAGGCTTTCCGTAATCCTGCAAAAGCTTCTTAAACCTCCTCATGGATTTTAAAGAAACTCCGAGAATTAGGGTTGAGGATTCAAAATGAAATACCTCAACACTGAGTCCTGTGAGGTTGAGCAACGTTTGGGATGAGTGGAGACTTTCCCTAGCCTGGCACTTACCGGCCGATGCCAGGATGGTGCAGTGCAGTGCATGCTTCAAAGCTTGCATCCTCTCCTCCTCGGCTATGATGGTCTTGAAGGAAAGCTCGTTGTACCGCTGGGCCGCCTCGATGAACTTGCGCCGGTAGTCCAACACCCTGGCATAGCAAACCTTGTTTCAAACAATAAAAAATCTCATATCGTTGGTTGAGCCCGTTAAGCAACCATCACGAAGTGCCCAGCTTTTCCACATCAATTTAAGGCAACTTACGAAAGGAGCCAAATCTGAAGACCGTTTAGGAGCTTCAGTTGAAGTTTTCGCATAATAAAGCAACCGTAACTGCCTTATCTACAATACCCAATTTCACGGCGCTGCTTACCGCAGAAGTCCGCACTTACAATTTCTATTCTGCGTTAACCACTCAAGCAGGAAAATTCTGCGCTAACCCTCTGAGCACAGAATCCTTGGTAAAGGGATGTACGCATGCGCACAAGCCAAAATTCCTCGCTAACCCGTGAAACACTTTCAGCGTAAGTGTAGATTTTTCTGCAATGGTAAGCGCCGATTTTTCGATTGCGGTAAGGAGCGCCGTGAAATTGGGCCCAGGTCTTCAGCACTACAACCACATACCAAAAACCTAACCACATTTACAGGAACATGTAAACAATGCTACATAAACATGCATATATGTATATCAATTTTATGGAGTTAGTAAGTACATCCTTCAACTTCGCATCTAAAGCAATGTTGACTGCCACATATTACTGAACTTAAAAAAATGGAATTTTTACTTTTTATTATCTACTTCCCAACGGCTTCTAGAACAAGTACTGAGATATTTGAATATAATCGGACACTAATTCAGTAGCGGGATTCCGAAGTCTAGGTTCACCTTGTAATGAATGTGAAGCTGTTCACTGGTGGACTCGGCTTGGAGCAGTGAGGCTCGCTTGATGTAAGCCTCCGCGTTCACAGGGTCGTCGTCTTCTAGATACAGCCGAGCAATCTTCAGGTACGTCTCTAATTTATAGTCTATGGAGTACTGCCTGTGGGGGAAAGGGAGTGGGTTGGGAAGACAGGTGGAAGTAAAACTTTGACCCTGCCAGTTAACCCTTAGCTTCTTTCGCTTCATCTAAAGTTCACCCGATTACTGAACCCATTGTTCAATGCGCAACAACAATGATGCAAGAAAAGAACAAATTTTCTTCTAACACATTCAAACACTGCTTCAAACCAAAAACGGGAAACAGACTGAGAAATTTGCATAACAAATTCGAACTCATTCCAAGTTAATCATCTGTCTAGTGCTTTCAAGACCAGATGAAAAGAATCTATCATGCCTCCCGGCTTCCTTGCCGAGGAGGCTGAAAACTACTTCTTCTTCCTTCATATAATCCTCATGGAAGAGGGAAATGGAGTCCAGTCCAAGTCTCTACTCACTTCTGTCCCGACTCCAGCGGTATACCCACAAGGATGTTGGCAGCCTCCCTCCAGCTTTGCTCCCTCTCAAAGATACTGGCCAGATGCTGTCTCACGGTGGCTACCTGTAACCACGGCAAGGGTCAGACTTTCTAGGGGGCACTGCCAATGCTTTCCTACAACAATCCAGCGAGCCCTTCAAACAAATCCTTAACCCTTCAAGACCCTTCAAAATCCACCAGGGGACTTTGAAAGATTTCGCAAGACTGAGGGAGGTATGGTCAGGCGCAATTATTTTTAATGGTATTTGATGGCTCTTCGAGTTTTGGAAACATGCACAAAGCATGCCCCACTAAATTCCTGCACAACAATACATATTGGAGAAGCCAGGACAGTTTCTTGAAGAAAATACCACAGAATTAGGATTTAATGCATGGCTAGGTACCGCAGAGGTTTGAGGGGAATCACGCCTAGTATGAAGCAACACTGCCTGGCCTCCAGCAATTTCAATTCTTCCAAATCTTCCCACATCAACAGGGGGATTTGGAAGAATTAGCAAGGGTAGTGTTTCGGTTTCACCTGCTCTTCAAAGGAGACTACCCTCGGCTGGACTTTCTCGATCATGAAGTGGGACACTTTCTTGGAGACTTCGTCGGACAGGGTGCCGAGGTGGTTGGAAACTTCCGTTAGGAGCTGTCTGGAGATGACCAGGCTGACATTTTCATTTACCACTGCAGAGACAACAACAACAACAAAAATCTCAAATTTCAAATTTGAAAAACCAAATATTCACCTTTAAAAACTTTTAGCACTACACGGCCAGAATGCTGCTGGAACATACTCTCCCTAAACACAGTTTAAGGGCCTTCACAATAAATTTGATTAATCATAAAATGCACTTCATGTCTGGTCGCCTCCATGAGACAATACTGGAACGGAATATTTTCTATAAAATATGGCCTACATGATTGGTCTGATGGTAGGGTTTGTAAGCAGACACACCGAAATGAAGACGGACCACCATGGGTCATTTTGACACATTTACCTGTGCAATAACAAAGTATTTTCGGACTAGTTCATGCAGATTCAGCCAAATTGCAGTTTCCTTTTGTCTATAAATTCCACTTCTACTCACAAGCCTCAATTGACGCCTGTAGTCCTTCGATGAGTGCGTTGTCTTTCAGCTTCAGCACGTCTGTCAGAATTTTCCGATACCTTGAACGGAAAAAAAAAGAAACTCGTCAAATTCTGGGAGTAGGGTTTGACTCATCAATTTCTACACATGCATTATTGATCATGCCATTTTACCCTATATATGCATCAAAACTTTAACTCACTTTTGAGGGTTTTGTCAAGTATGAAGTAAAAGTATTTGTATTCAACTTCAGACAAAACTGCCAACTTACACTTACAGACATATGCCAGACTGAAGCAGGAGGAAAAAAGAACCGGACAAAGCAAGCAGATATGAGAAACTAGGCTTGGGTTAATTAAAATTTTGGGGGTTGTATTTATTTTGTTTTGTTTTGTTTTTTCACTTCTTTCACCATGTTCACTTGTGTCTTTCTTTGTTCCCTTGTTCATTTTGTGCAAGACTTAGCTCAGGCCTGGTGTTATCTTGGTCATGTTTGTCAGACATGTCGGATGGTCATTTCCAAATGTGTACCATTCACAACCTGGGCTAATGACAAGCATCAAGATTATGTCATTTGTGTCATGATGGAGGAAGATCCTTCGAGCACGCCCATTCCATCGATATTCTGTCCATCAGCGGTGTTAGTTCCATGTCCATGATCGTACGAGTTGTACATGTCGTACATAATACAATTAAAGAGTCAACTCTAACCACGGACAACTCGTACCATCAACTAAACATAACTGTACCAACTCCTACCTTTGCCCAGTTGGACCTTGGACAACTTGTATATGGGCCTCCAGTAAAGACAACTCAGAGCTTGCTGAGAGCTTATTATTATTGTAATTAACTTGAACAATAATTTGATTTCTTCATCATGTGTTTGTCACCTAATTTGCTGTTTTGGCTACACTGCCTTCCCTACAAGGGTGACATTAATGTGAGAGGCGTCGACGTCGGGCATGTGCACGCACGGTCAGGCAACTAAAAAATTTTTAAAATGAAACCAGAAACATTTCCAAAAGAAATCAAGACCTAACAGGTTTCATTAAGTACACCCCCCCAAAAAAGTTACTAAACAAAACCATCATTCCCCTACAAAATGAAAAAGTCCAATAACATTTTCCCAGAGCCATAAGAATAAATTGAAGTCCCCCCCTCAAAAAACCAACAGAATTCAGAGTTCAGTAAATCCTCCCCCCAAAAATAATGTCAGTCAACTTGGTAAACGGTCGGGTTGTTGGACATCCATCATGTAATAATTTTTATAAATCAATGGTGCAAACACCCACGACAGGCACTATGCAGAAAATCATGTTGGTGCTCCGGGAGATTTATGAAGAGTTTTCTTTGGTATGTTTGTCAAATCTGATCTTAAATATGCTGAAAAGGAAAGCAATAAAGTTACAACCGAACTGCAAACATGAAGGTATGAGTGGTCTTAACTTGAGGTAGGCCTACGAGTTGTCCAAGGTACGAGTTGCCCATGGTACGAGTCGTCCAAAGTATGAGTCATCCAAGGTACGAGTCGCCCAAGGTACAGTATGAGTTGACTCGAAAGCCAAATAAAACTAATGTGGGTCAAGTCGTCCCCGAGTCATGTCACTCCCAAGTCAAGTCATCCCCGGGGCAAGTTGTCCCCGGGTCAAGTCGTCCCCCATAGTAATTAAATTATAATGTAATTTTGTTTTACTTTTCAAGATTTTACTGGGGTAGTATATTTTTTCTTTTTCTTTTATTAGGATTTTTTTCATTGATTTTATATAAATCATTTATTTTTATTTCGTTTTGGGGCCTAGGCCTAATATAAAATAATAGGCCCTAATCGTTTATTAAGAATCAATATCAGACAGGCCCCAGGACTGAATTGAAGTGTGTTGCTCTGAAAAGTGTGTTGGCTCTAAAAAGAAAATTACATGCAGATAACACTTGTATAAAGTTGTATTTGTAAGAACAGGTGGAGCTGGAGGGATGACTTGAACCGGAGACGATTTGACCCAGGGACGACTTGACCAGGGTTTCAATTCGGGGGGTTGACTTGACTCGCCGACGACCACTTGACAATGCTTGACGACTTGACCTGGGCCGACTTGACCCGTTTGCAAATAAAATGAACAGTCAAAATTTGTCACTCTTCGACAATAACGCTACTATTACTAGTACTATCAATTACAGTTTCTTTACATGCGACACACAATGCTAGTTTGAGAAACTTACTTCTCTGTGAGGTCTTTGGGTGCACTTCCTGTGTTGACAAGAGCCGAGAGTTGCCTTTTGATGGACGCCGCCATTTTGGACATGAATATACCAGGCACGAAATTAAATAGGACGAACGAATCTCCCAGACATGTCGTGTAGCTGCAGTGCTACATACGTTTACAGTACATGCCTATGAAGTTTCAGGTACCTTCATAGGCTCTTACGCAATTTAGTTATAATGGTACCCAGGAACTAGACCAAACCTTTGCCGCCGACCCGACGCACAAGCTAACACGAATTGAAGCAGACAAGTCTAGGTACGGGTAGCAATCTGTAGCAGAAAGCGCTACACCATTGATTTGTGCACAAACCCACTGCTACACTGTGCGATTTTGGGTCATCTCGTACCCTGGTTAACTCGTACCCAGATCAACTCGTAGTCGGGTCGACTCGTACCCAGGTCAAGTCGTACCCAAGTTAACTCGTACCCCCAAAACAAATGACATCGAAGCCGCTTTCAATGGTTAAGCAGCAGACTTGACCACAAACTTCTTTCAAGTGCCGCCATTAATGATCAGGTTTTCATGTTGGCATGGCTGCAGCTGCGCTTCATAGAGCAACATTAGAAATTGTGGATTCTCCTGAGACAATCCAAGTGGGAAGGTTAATGACCAGCCCTCAAATAGCCCCCATACGGTGATGGATATTACGCCCGCAAAAAAAATACACTGCTTCGGTTTAATTATCTATCAAATTTTATTGCGAAAAGAAGTCACTCAAAACATTTACAATCATAAACAGCACATCATTGATACATTTATTTTACTGGCCCGTGTGCCTCCGGTTGGTCGTACAGTACTATCGCAAACTGTACTACAAAGTTTGTGATAGAACTGTACGGCTGGAGGCGTTCGGGCTATCATTTTACCAATTCACGAAGAAAAGAAGTCACTCAAATTATTGCATGCCAAAAGCTGCAATTTCAGTGGTGTTTGTTTCCATTTTCTTCATGCTTATACTGCATACTGTACTTATATTCAAGTTTGTTTTCCAACTACGTTCTCCCGATACGCTCAACGTCTAGCATCAAGACTTCACAGGATCACCTCTAAAAAAAAAAAGAGAAAAACATGGTGACGGCAGTAACAATTCGACAAATAATATTTTTTCATCTTCATTATCTGAATTTAATATTCCCAATAATACAAGTCAACAGAGCAGAGAATGTGGGAACTCACCGTCATTCCTCTTTCGTCATTCACGGCTGCGAAAAATGCTTCCATCGGTCAGATTCAACGTGGAAATTCATATAGGGTACGAGTTAACTTGGGTACGAGTTAACCTGGGTACGACTTGATGCGGGTACGACTTGACTCGGGTACGACTTAACTTGGGTGTAAATTTTGGGGTGCGAGTTGACTTGGGTACGAGTTGACTCGAGTACGAGTTGACCCGTTCCACTTCGCTACAAGGTGGGATGGGAAAAGTCAAGGGTGGAAATCTGTAGCAAAAAAGTGCTATACCATTGACTTGCTACGCAATGGTACAAGCTGGGAAGGGAAAAGTCAAGGGTGGGAATCTGCAGCAAAAAGTGCTACACCATTGAATTGAGCACAAACTCACAGGGAAATTCTAAAGTCAGTAATGCGCATGCAATTCTTATGTCATTAAAGCGCATGCGTGGCGTTTGTAGCAGGTAGCAATACTACAAACTGCCAGCCCCGATTTCTTTCGTCCCATTTGGTGCATCAATTGAGCCTACATGTTACCGGGGGGGCACTCGCCAGGGTCTTGTTTTGGAGGGAAGCATAATAAATGGACTCACTCCATATTTTTCCATCTCCAATTTCTGAGTACTGGAGCATAGGCCTTGGGGGGGGGCGTGCATGCATACCATGCATACCCCGTTAGTTACCATACCGATGCTCTCTGGTGTGGCTTTTATCTGTAGTCTGCCGTTTTAGGCTAAGTTCCTACATGCTTGCCTGGCCCTCTCCGCATGAATCATACCGTGCGACTCAAGTGTCCACAGCTGCGGCATTTTCGACTGCAGCAGGGCCGTACCTCCGAAGAGACCTGGTCAGGTACCTTGACCTTGCGATGGATCGCGATGAGCCTCAAAGAATGTAAGGACTTGAAACCAGACTACTGCCGCTTTGCCGGAGTGTTCATTGATTTCATTATCATTGTGTGAGTTCATAAATCCAATGAAAGAAACTTGAGGTGCCAAGATGTGCTGGTATACCACCAACTTTACCTCGGTGTTGGGTGAAATGCTTGCTCATCAAAGAACAGTTTAATGCTATTTAAAGTGACAATAAACTTCCTAGTCTCCATAAAATTAAAAGCCCTGTTTCCTCTTCAAGGAATACCCTGAACCTTTATGTCATTCGTTTCCTATTACGAGGATTAATGTATTTGAAGTTGCGTGTACCTTCCAAAATTATTTCCGCGTCGGTTTAGATGCTTGAGATTAATAATAGAGCACCCCCTTGCATTACAATGGAAGAGACCCATCCGCCCGCAGGTTCGCGGAAGCTGTCTATAAAACAGGGTCCTCTCGAAGATCGGCCATCCCTCAGCCCAAGACCTTTCGCAGAGACTAGACGCGTCGGTTACTATATCGCCGACCCTGAAACGCCGACTGAATATTCCAACATGGCGAAGGCGTACGCTTGCGTGTTGTTGCTATTGGGATTGGTGGCAGCGGTGGAACCAAAATGCTGCTTTCCCTTGATGGAAAGCTGGATGACTAATATTGGTAAGAAAAATTAATTCCTCTCAACCGACAAATTTAGTTAGATGACAGCTTAATCTTTTGATGCTTGCAGAAATGATAATCCAAGATAACCACGGGTCTTGAAACATTTTTTTGTTTAACCGAGCAAAATTTTCCTTTCACGTGTATCGGAGCGATTTGTCAAAGGTAAAACAAACTGAAGAGGATGTTAGATTTTTTTTTAACAACGACTCGCTCTTTTAAAAGAAAAGTAACGTCACTATAAACTAAATAACTATATTATGAAAAAACGTGAAGAATTGACATACTTGATTTGTTTTAGCAGAGAGATTTTTATGGTTTTTAGGCAGTTATCTTGAGTTTTGTACAGCTTCGGATTTTTTTTTTCAGTTTAACCTGTTGAATTCCCCCATGTATAGTTGCTGGTCTCGTGTACAAGAACGGTGAAGTCATGACGGAGACCGCCACCTACGGACGGAACACCATCGACGGCCTCCAAGGCTCGTCAAAGTTCTTCACGAACATCATGACAGGCGTTGTCTCCACTGTGCGCAAAGTCCAGAAATACCAGCCAGGGGTGAGTAGGCCCGTCAATTTAGCACTTAAGAGACAGGGAAGGAGGTTGATCACCATGCATGGACTATGTTTAAGCAGCAACTTTCCGATTAAAACTCGTGTAATAAAAAAGCAACTCCTTATTCATGTAGATTTTGAACTTTATTCGTCTCCGAAACATTCTAAGTAATGCTGATAAACGTCTCTAATAAAACTGTCTTTCAGAACAAAATGGAGTAAAGTGTTTGAAATTTTTTACTGTTTTCTTCAGGTAAATGCCACCTTCAATACTTGGATGATCTATGACGAGAAAGAATGCACCATCGAACTGAAGCCGTCAGCAATTCAGAACTGTGTGCCTGGTGAGTCCAGAGACATTAAATTCCATCAGGCTTTTCAGACGGTTAGATGTTTCTTCCATCGGGTTTGGTAACAAACGGTTCATTAAACGGCTTTTTATCATTTGCCCTCCTCCCGACTTTAGAATTTGCCGAGCTCAGCCCAATCTGGTACGGGAACCTTAGCCAGCCGCTGGACATCATGCGCCGCTACTCCGTGACGCCCGTCGGCGCGCGGCCCGGTGACCGCGACCTGCTGGAGAAGACGCTGTTCGTGGCTCCCGGCTGCAGCTTGGCCAACTCGCTCAAGATCGACATCAACCCGACAAGTAAGCGTTGTCATTGTCTGCTTTCCAAATGTGTAATGTTTTAGGTTACTGTTGAAAGGATGACGACAGTTTAAAAAAAAAAGGATACACTATTTTAGGTGGTTTTGCTTCGTTTTAATGAACAAAATGCTGATCAATTGCGAGGGGCAGATTTCGGCAAGCTTGCCAAACATTTCATTCTTTCTCGTCAACCTTGACCCCTTTTCCTCTGACGTTCGAAAAATAATCCCAATGACGCCGGCGGTAACGAAATCCGATCGATCGATCGATCTGTCTGAAATCGAGGATGTTATTCATTTTGAGCTGATACTATGTTGGAGGACACTGTTATGCGTGTTGTACTATACGATGAGATTTGATTGTTCCCCACTTTCTACAGAGAAATTCGCCTCGCTGGTGAACTACGCCAACTTCCGTGTCATCACCGATACCTCCGAGTTCGCCGACATGTTCGACTTGCCAGACTTCTGTCCCCGAGAGGTGCCGGTAAGTATACAGGTTTTCCCCTCTCTTCATACTATCTGAAGCTAGTTGCTTTCCAAATCTGTGTCTATCTTTGAGACGGCGTGAAGTGGCCCATCTACAAAAGTAACCATTGTACAGAAGCATGACAGACGAGCCGAAGTTCGACTGGCATTCACATGCACTTTGTGTAGTCGGTGGTTGATTGCCAGCCCTTTGCAAAACAATGTGGTCTACAGCTTTTTTAACTGATTGGGTGGACAGCATCGACTGATATTTTTCCCTCTGGTTTGATCCTTTATTGCAGACGGCAAACAAGCCTGAAGCTGCACAACCCAAGCCGGAGCCCCGTGCAGAACCCCAGCCGGAGACCAAGAACGAGCGCGCCCGAGACGCGCTGAGAAATTCCCGGTTCTTCCAATAAATCATCAGGCAGAGCAAACACTGTCGAAACAAGCGACAAGGAGTTCAGAAAGCACGGTTTCCACGTAGCATGAATCGGCAACGCTCCCATCCACAGTTAGGCTGAAATGGTGGAGCAACGAAACTAGGACTTCGATTACGATTATTAGAAAAAAGTGTAAAAAATGTGTAAAAGTACAGGCCACAATTTACCTCATGTAACGTAGACGTATTTATAGTTTCAATTTTTGTGTTCACTCTATACGATAGTAGATACTCAGTTTTCTCACACAGACGCCTTAAAACATGATTTCACTTAGATTCACTTCTTCCCTTTGCCTAGAAGCATTTAAATGTCACGAAAAACTTCCCTTTTGTCACACCGATTATATGGCAGCTGAGTATTTTTGTGTTTCACATTTTTTTTCACTTCGGTTAAAACGACAAAAACAACATAAACGCACTACACACGCACAATTCCGCCCGCACAGCACGACACAGTACAAAGCATTCGGCACCCCACGTTGAGAGCCACACGTTAAAACTGCATGTTTAATATAAAAACAGTTCGTAAAATTTAGCAGATTTAAGGTGAATAATACTGGCAATAACATCTGTCCTGACTAGTGGCACATTATCGTGAATCAGATTTTTGTAAAGGTAATTATATGCTTGGTTGAGGATGGGCGATTTCACAATAAACTATTGTGACTAATCTATGCAAGTTATTGAAGAGTTTATCTGGTTCGTTTCTTTATGTTTTAACTTTTATCATTCTAGTCGATCGAAATCAGGTCTGAATCTGACGGCATGAAAGCTTGATTTGTTTATTTCTTCACGTGCCCTGGACAAGGACCTTCTTCCAAACCCAGGCTTCAATCTGGCGTCAGCCTCGGGGTTTTGACTTGTGTGATTTTTACAATCCATCCGGCACAGTGGCTAGGTTGTTTCTGATTCAAAATGGATTCATTTCTTGCTGCGGAAACCGTCATTTTGACAAGTTGCAATAATGAGCAAATTGGCAGCCTTTTGGGTCGAAATTTAGCTTCTGTTTAGCTTTTCAAATGCTTTCAAAGTGTTAAGAAGATAAAAGGAAAGCTAGCTAAAATTTGGCAAACGCCACACATATGGCGCATTCATGATCAGCCTTGAGCAGAAGCACCACTCATCGGTTGAAAAGAGCTACGTTGGTGGAGAGAGCTCATTTTGTTTGTGACCAGCGAAGTGCAGTTCCTACTGAATTGTGCCCTCTCTTGATCAAGCTAATAAAGAAGCATTTGCCATTCCTCATGAAGCAGTGTCCGCTGAAGTCGAGCGGTATGCCCAGTAAACGCATAATTGAACAATAACAAGATCTAAATTATTCCAAGCTTCAGCAGAACTCTAAGATGTGATGACATTGCACTTTCACGGCACGAGATTGACAACTAAACTACTAAGTCTTTGATTAGTGGACAGGAAAAAGGGTTTTAAACTGCACTTAAAAAGTACACCCCCTTTTCATCGCTACCAGTAGAAAAAAAAGAAACGAATGACTGAGCTGTTCTGACGTACCAGCAACCGTAACAAGGGCTAAACGCTACCATCTTTCACGGCACTTGCGCAAAGGACTTGTGCGAATCTTTGGCTACGCCCGAATCTAATGTCTAGAGCTCGGTCTTCCCTCCATTGGAAATACGCGGACACGCGCAGACAGAAGACCTAGCCGTAGCTCCGGAAACCCGTTTCGGACACGGCCTTTGCTTGGGATCAGACCACTTCAAATAGAAAAGGGAATATCAGACATAAATGGAGTGAACAGTCTTCACACAGCAAACGGTCGTCAAATGACATTTACATTATTTTAATCCTGAACCATCGATGCGATCGCTTCCCACATACAACATGACCGAAGGCTATTTCATGTACACGTAAATATCAGCCGGACATGTAAATGGTGGGCTAGCAAAATTCAGTCGGTACATGGCTGCATTTTCCCTTCTTTGGTCTTTGCGGGTGCAACCCCGGGAGTGTGACAACAGTCATGTTTACCACCTGAAATCTACAACACGAGAGAAGACATCACTTCATAGTAAAACCAATACGCACATTACACTGGTGAGGTAATTTTTGAGTAAAGACAATTTAGCTTTGGGAACGTTCAGAGCTTTGGGACAAGCACCGCCCATTGTTATTTAAATTTTAGATGGAAGGTAGATTCACAACCTGCCCTGACAAGTGTGATTTCAGACTGCAATTACAGACAGACGTTTTGTAATGACTAAAAAATAAACTACATTAGAAAGGGCATTCAAAGACAGCAATCCCCCAACCCCATTTGAGAGGTTCGCATTTCTAAGCATTGTTCTGTTTCTGCAAAGGCATTCTTTGCAACATTGGTCAGGCGACTTCAACCAAACCATTCGCTCCGAACTACTCAACGGATTGTGACGGGAAAGGATTCTTTTTGACAAGGAACTTCGAATAAAATATAAATAGAGCAAGAAAACACCAAACGAAAAAAAGGAGAGAAAACCTTTTGTGAACATCCCCCAACAAACAACAATCACAACAACACAACCAACAAAGAAAACGTTTTACAGAAAATAGAACCAAAACTGAGGACCCAGGGACTTTGAACCGACAGATTAACAAAGCAATCATCTGACAAAAGCAAGCAAACAGGATACCATCTGGAAAAGAAAAGTTGAAATCACATTTCCAAAATTATGCCCTCAATGTTTTTTTTGTTGCAAATAAAACCACCGTGAAATACACATAACAAAACACACCCACAAGACCCAAAGCGCTAAACAAACAAACAAATAAATCAGACAACCATTACAAATGTTTAGAAATATGAACAAATATGCACTTCTGTGGATACATCAACAGTGTTTACATAAAATAATAATTTTCTATGTACAAGTATCAAAATGCTAAGACCGATCCCCCTCCAAAGAACCTCCCTCAGGCAGCAAAGCTCAATCCAACCTATCAGCAACTACTAACAATTCTAGTTTGGGCTTTAATTCTACTGGGGGAAAAAGCATTTATCAAATAGGTTTTATTTCCATTTTATACAAGAAAAATACATAAAACAGTGGCTTGGGGGGGGGTATATGAAATTAAACTGAAATAGACTTGGCTTTAAGTGGTGATGATACTCCAAGGTTGAGGAGTAAAAAAAAATGAACAAAGTGGCCAATGACAAACGATTAAAATTATGGGCGCACCAAAAAACCAGGGAAAAAAAGGCAATTTGAAGTGGGATCCTGTGGCTAATCAGGTGCCGACGCAGCCAAGGTGTGTGTTTACGTAACACACAAAAGTCTCATTACGACAACCAAAATGATGCGTATGAGGGAGAATGGTCACGCAAAAATGTGCCCAGGCAAGCACACTGTATGCTACACAGAACCTTAGGCTGGCTGTGCTCAAAGAGAGGCTGTACTGGCAAAGACTCCGTCAAGCAAGTGCACCCCCAATACAGTCTCTAAACAGAGGTACCATGCGCGAGGCAAATAAGAAAACGTGGTGGAATATCTACTTCTAGTATCTCCCCTTACATAAAAACAGCCCCACCCCTGTTGAGCTTAAAAGAAACTAAAATGAACTGTCTCATCTTCTAAGACGCTCTGTACAGATTCTTCAAGACATAAAGTTTTGATACGTACACATTATGTCATTAACAGAAACCTATTGCTTCCGCATACATGTAGTAAGTTTTGTTACCATTACAACAATTTATGTACAGTGATTTAATTTCAAAAACCATGATCATAACGTTGGATTCTGGTATGCATATGTACATGTTTAGTTGATTGACCAATTTTATCCTACATTCTTATCGCAGCTTTAACGGGTTTTTAACTCTACGTGAAATTATAAAATTAAATAAACAATAAGTTTACCCCCAGTCCTGCAGTTATCTGGGATGAAAATAGTCTTCATTGACTTAAACAACGAGGTAAAAACTGATTTATCGTCCTGTGACTATGAAAATCCATGTCAACGAAAAGGACTACAGGGAAATATTCATTTGAATATCCCCATTACATGGCAATTCTTAGCCACCATACTTAAGGATGCTATTTCTTGTGTGCATTTTTGCTCCCTCTGTTGGCCAGCGAAAAGCAAAATTGCAGCATTTTTTTACTTGGACAGGTCAGACAAACTAATTTTTTTTTTCAGCCTTCCCCCAGACAAGACACACCATTTCTTAATCTCAGAGGGGAAACTAAACAGGACACTTTTTATTCCCCATTGGAAATCCCCCCCCCAAAAATAAAGGCCCAAATAAATTGTCTCAGTGTCCAGTTCATAGCTGATCTGAGGTTGAATATTGTAAGAATCAACCTTTCTCTGAGATTTGTCACCATAAACTGAGAATATGAGATGAAACCTCTCCATTCAACTTTTAAACTTGTTTGAGAATTAGTCCACCTTAAACACACAGCAAGTGGCATGAATTTGCTTACATGCCTCATTTCAACTGTCTGAAATTCAACACTGAGCACTGTTCTTGAGAGTATTCATTTCTGTCCCCAAATTCTCAGTTTTCAAATGAACATAGTGAGGGGCAAAAGAAATCAAAGAGTTTCAGAGACAAGAAGCTCGAAATTTCGGACAAGGAAAATTAGCAGTTCATGAGAGAGATGTCCAACGCTACTCGTGCTCTGCAACATGTTTTTGTTAGTGTCCTTCATAGAATTTTCGGTTTGGCAAAGTGCCTTGTAGATTCCGATGGGCCCTGCAGTGAGACCCTCTCTCGGCAAGTGACTAACCTCTTTCCCCGGAAATCGGTGACCTGCGATCGCGTCCAATTTTTCTGAGCAAGCAAAGAGCGCCCCCACGAGTCCAGCGTGACATCACTTCGCTTAGGAGGCAATCCCTGTAGATCGGCGATTTGGAAAGCACAACTAGGTTGCTTACTTTTTTCCAGTTTTTGTGCAAAGTGATGCAAAAATAAACTGACATGCGTACACTGGTCTCTCGTAAAAGCATTTCAGCATCATTGAATTGACTTGAATCAAATTCAAAAATTTACTTCATCCAAATGCTACTTTCTTCTAACTACACATTGATAACTCAATTTTTGTGCTGAGCAAGAGCGAGAAGAGAACCGGTCTTGAGTGACATACGTTGCACAGCAAAACCTACCTCACTGGTAACCTATCCATGCTAAGCAAACATTTTCCCGTGCTTGAAAAACTTCAGCAAATAAAGCACCTCCAAGGTCACTGGAGGGCAGCAACACACGAGCAAGGAGATCTGCCTTATCAGCACAACCGCATGCCGACTCACAGGCTCTCTGTTCTGCTCTGTTCTTGCTTGGCCTTGCCCTTTTGGCTTAAAGGTCCCCTCGAATTCTAATTTGTACAGCGCCCTCTACTGCTCATGCACAACATCCTAAGCCGCACCTTTGGTCTTGCCGGCCGAGTTGATGACCTGCCGCAGACACTGGCCAAATTCTTCCAGGATGAGCCGCTCAGCCTTGGCCTGGGATGTCCGTTTCTGCTCCGTCTGCTCGGCCTGTGCCAGGAGGCACTGGCAGGTGGCCTCGGCGACGTCGTTGGTGATGAACGAGAATGGTAACCTGTGAAGGGAGTGCCGATCAAAAGTATTATACTGATAAAACCAAGGGGAATATTTAAACAGCAAAATAAAAAACACTTTGTGAAATTGGGCCCAGTTCGTACTTGGGCGTAGAAAGTATGACGTCAAATCATATATTTGCTCCTAAAATTTGCAGCAGTTGAGCATGTTTCAACTCAGTGCATGTGACTGTAACAGTTTTGTGATATGAAAGTCACTTAGCATTTCGCGTTTGCCTGAAGCATGAGCCGGCCTTCAGACCGGTGTCACACCGGGAGTCCTACCTTTTGCCCGAATCATTGACTATAGCCGGCCGGGAGGGGAAGTCTTGGAACTGTAGCTTGGTGTTGGCGTCAGTCTGCTGCTGAACCCGGACCTCTGCGGCGTCGGCGAGGTGCATCAGCGTCTTCCGCTCGGGGCTCTCCTCAAAGTTTTTACACCCAACACACTTGCAGTTATTGGAGCACAGAATCCTCGCCTGGGGAAACAAGTGTCAGTGATGAGAAAAATTCAGCTCCGACAAAATCGAGTCTGAAGGCCACTTCGTCAGTAATTTGTCTGCATTACAAAGAGCAGACTGGGCTCCCTGTTTCAATGTATCACTCAGTTTGCCATCCTGATGAAAAACGGACACCAAGTGGGTGAAAAAATGTTTAGGGTTTCAATTCATTTTACTGCGCAAGATTCTTTTCAAGGTCTGTGCCTCCGAAGTGGTTTAGTGCACTTGGGGCTTCCTTTGGTAGGTTGACTCGCATTTAAACAGATTTCAGAAAACAGACCTTATTCATGAGGAAACCATCTTTGATTGTTTCAAGATGTACTTTGATTGTGTTTCAAAATCTTATCGTATTCAACGTAGTCTGTTAAACTGTTTTGAGTTCCACCCCTCACTTTCGATTTTTGTATTTGGCTTAAAACATGTTTATATAATTCATCACAAATTTTATATTCTTGGTCTGTGAAAATGGCATTAATTTGGAATGAAGTTTCATTTTAGTGCTTCCAGTTTATTCTCAGTGCCCCCGACAATGTTAACCTCTCTTCCAATTCAATATGGCCGACTTGTGAATAAGCGCGACTGCGAAAAGTTCAAAGCAAAGGAACATGGTATGGTGCAAAGGAGATTCGCGCGAGCTGCTGACTGACCTCGTAGCACTCGCAGTAGTTCTTGAGGCAGCCTGAGCGCTTGCAGTTGCAGCCCTTGTTGTGCCTCCGGTCCAGCTCCCCGTTCCGCCCCTTGCCGATCTTGGGCTTAAAGGCGTTGGGGTTGCGGTCCAGGCAGGCCTTGATGGCCCGGGCCCGGTCCTCCTCGTGGTCCAGGTTGTTGAAACAGTTGTTGCAATTACAGCTGCTGCAGAACTCCCCGTTGGCAAAGCAGTCGCAGTACCTTGGTGGACAAAGGAGAGGGGGGAGAGTGATAACGTAAGGTGAAGCGACAGGTTCCGTCAGGGATTAGGACTTGTTTCTCACCGGGGAATCGAGGCCAACCGAAACCTCACGTTACCCCGAACCCCCCTTGGCCTCTTTTGCTAAGCACTCTCCTCAATCCTTCAAAATCCTTCGATTTCCCATGCAAAGAAAACTGCATTCAATCCTCCAATGCTTCTTGAATTTGCTCCTTTGAGGGGTGCCCGCTGCCTCGATCCTCCAAAATCCTCTCGCGATTCTGCTCACTGTGCAGAGGCAGGGCAAATGATATCCTGGAGCAGCATGGATGATTTTGTGTATAATTTTGACAATGCAATCAGCCACACTTTTTTGGTCATTCTTCCTCAATCCTCCGATGTCCTCCAAAACCAACCCGAGGATCTTGGAGGATTGAGAAGGGTTAGGGTTAAAAGAAAAACTTAGCGTGAATGTAACTCTCGAAATGAGTTCAACCCTAGCTAATTCGCAGAGTCAAAACCTGACGTGATGTCACCATTTCATGTTGGCACTCTGACTGAACACAAACACCGAATGACTGTCTGATCGTCTAACTTGTCTTACACATCACCATCTCACTGGTGCCTTGCGTTATATCCTTTCCTGATAAAAGTGCTTTGAAAGGATGCTGAGACTTCAGGAACACGGCCGAGGGCAAGTCAGATGGCGTGATGTCAGAAAATACTAAAAAAGCTTGTCTCCTAAAATAGCAATTCCTCGCCCGTTCCAAACAATCTCAGGGGTGTGATTATCGAGCAAAAGGTGAGTTTTCTTTCCTAAAAGTCTGGATTCAAACTCGGAGGACGGGTTCCTGCACCTCAAGGACAATTAAATTCCATGAATTTTCCATGACCACATTATGAAAATTCACAACCAATAATGCAATTTCTCGGACTATTCAGCCTTTTAGGTTGCAGATACAATCACAGATTTTATGCGCTTAGTTTTGATAATAGAAATCACACACGGTTTTGTGACTTCCATGACAAAATCCCACGACTTTTCCAGGCCTGAAAGAGGAAAAACAAATTTCCATGACTTTTCATGGCTTTTCCAGGCCGCAGGAACCCTCAGAGGGGGCCACAGGCCTCATACTTACAATTTCAGACACTGCGACTTGGTGCAATTGCAGGGTTTCCGTGGTCGGTGTTCAGGGTCCAACTGGGCCGATCGCCGCCTTGAGTGATAAAAAATAAGAAACAAAGACTCTTAAGTGGCAACCCTGGATACAATATTGATATAATAAACCACTATAAGCAACACCGCTTCTTGAAATAATTCTTAGGTCATCTATTTATGATGAATTTTAGGCACGATATTTCGAACTTGAGAGTTGCTGAACAAGTAGACAAGCTGCATCTTTCACACCATTGCTTTCCAAGATGTTCGTAACATGTATTTGGTCAAACTCTTCCATTCAGACGAATGATTTATTTAATGCCACTTGAATTAAATTGTCTTCATTTTCAATAAATTGTATCCAATTCCTTCATTAACCCTAACCCCCTAGGGTGTTTGTAAAATCATATTGAAATCGGAGGATTTGGGACTGTTAGGGTTAAGCTTTCAATGTAAGAGATAGTCAATCAAATGAAATGCTGAAAAGTTTGAAAACTGGCCATGAATTCTGCCATGAGGTGTTGGCGGTATTCTCACCCATTGATGACACGACTTGGCGGAGGCGGGGAGCGTGGCCGTGGGGGCGGAGCTTGGGGAACTCCCCCAGACAGTGAGGGTGCCAGAGAGACATAGTTGGGTGTGGACACCGGCTTGGCCTGAGACATCACCTGTGCAGAGATGATGCATGCATGAATATTCACGTTATGGTGCAAAGCACTGTGTGGCTTGTAAATGAGAGCCAGTGGAGAACACGGGAGGGAGAATGGCACAGAGTGGGTGTGGCTAATTTGCAACAGATTGTGCACAACCAGGTGCATCTTCCCACGAAAGGAATGCATCTGGTCCTTCAGTGTATAACTGAAATAAAAACCATGCATAAATATATATATATATATGTATATATATATATATATACACCGCACCATCCCAGATATCAAAGTAGAGATAAGGACCTTCACACAGTAACAGTCCATAAACTCGATTGAGGTTAACTGGTAAAAGGTGGAAGCCACACTACATCATAGGACCTGCTTAGAGTGGTACTGAAGGAGCCAAAAATTGCTCAAAGTTGAGTTGTGCTGGGGTACCAGTTGAAGAAATCAGTACGCCTTGGGATATGGATTGAATGAATGACCAATTTCACGGCTGACCCACTGAACAATTCAACAAGTTGAGCAAGTTTCACCAACCTGAGGCACCATGGGCACCATGGCAAAGTTCTGCATGATGTTGCCGCTGGGGGCTAGCAGGGTAGTACCGGGCGGGAAAGAGGCAAACTTGGTCTCCCCCGTCATCGGGTTGATGATCTTCAGCTGGGTGTTAGCCGGCATGATCATGCGGTTCTGGGTGGCGGATCCCGACCCCGCCCCGCCCTGAGCGGCGCTGCTCCGATTCGCCTGGATTTTCTGTCACAAATCAATTTTTTTTTTCTATGACACATCTTGATGAATGAAACGTTTTGAAAACAATGAATAGACAAGGAGTATACAGGCATTATGACTTTGGTAACGAGGACCCCGAAAGAGCAAATATCGTTAACTACTGGAAAGGATAACATACGGTACACAAAACTGTTGTCAGAACTTTGATCTGCAGTTGAGAGGCCAAAACCAATTTCACAAGAACTTTTCCTCAATGTTTAAAATTCCACTCTGTGCAAGGAACCAAGGACATGTTCCTCATAATTCACAGGACATCAAACCCACGATGCGTAAGAATGAGTAAGCCTAACTTTCCTAAATTTGTCAAAATCCGCAAGACAGTACTAGTTTGCAGAACCTGATCAGGTTTGGGGATTAGTGTACATTTTAACTACTTGCTGAATTGAACTACAAATATATATATAAAAACACTAAAATTTAATTAAACAGTACAAGGCTGACATTTTAATCTTTGAAAAAGAATGAAGCCACGTCTGACCTTTAACTTTCAGAGATATGTACGTTTCAGGTCACTGTTGTCTGTGAGCAGTTTGCAGCAGTGTTTTATCTGTCACAGAAGTCTGGAGATAACTCACCTGGGCTGGAGCAATGGGTACATTGACTTTGACGGGGTTCGTTGCGGGTATTGTCCGCACAACGTTGTGCACTGTGGTGGAGGCTGGAGCGATGGGTTTCGCGGTTGTGACCACAGGCTTAGCTATACAATACAAACAAATCAGGAATCCCAGCGTTTAACCTGAATTTGAACTCCACAGCACTGTGCGATATCATGCAGTAAGATGTAAGAAGACTGTCTGGGATGAGCCTCGCCTGGTATCTTGAAAGAGACCGGGACTTGCATTGAACCAGGCGAGCCTGGATGAACTCCACTGGGTCTCAGTTGCACTCTGAATGATCACAACGAAAAGCTACGCAGGACATTTCCATCCTCTTCTTTCCACTCCAAATCCCACCAGGCCAAAGACATACCAAGCAAGATATGGGACGGAGGGGTGCCCCCCTTACATGTCCAATCCCTAGACACGTCCCTCTGGTCTTGTTACCCGACACGTCTCCCAAAATGTCTGTAAAGAACTCCTGAGATTCTGATCAAACAGTGGCCAACACAAAGGTATGGGGGAGGGTGCTCTCCGTCCCATATCTGGCTTTATATGTATAAATAATCCTCTAACAAGGGCCAAGTCTTCAATCTACGTTGCCCATTGTTCAAACCCTCAGTCACCAGATCAGACCAATGGGGGGTGTGACACTTCAGTAACCACGCTGCATCTGGCTTCATCTGGCACCTCTGTACCCTCTTTTATTAGATTTCAAAATAAGATCCAATAATTTAACAGAAATAATCGACGGTCCTGGTATTAAAACAACATTCCGCACAGGAGGTTGTTACAACTTACTCTGGGTGCTTGCCGAGCTTGATGCTGTGACGGTGACCAGCCTAACGTAGGAGAACTTGGATCCGGGAACCTGTACGGACTGCACGGTGGTCGCCGGCGCGGCAGACGCAGCAGTCGATGTCGCTGCAGCAACAGTAGTTACTGCCACTGGGGGCTTGGACGCCTTGCTGGTGGTCACGATGCTCGTCACCGTGCTCTGCTTGCCCTGCGCCTGCGGGGCTGGTTTGATCTGGATTGGCTTGAGCTGCTGGGCTTGGTTCGCCGACTTGAGGATTTGAGTTGAAAGAACACAGAAGAATGAAATTCTACGGCAGATTCTCCAGCAAAGAAAGTGATAGCTTTCCCTGTTGAACTTAAGACCATCAACAGACCAGCCACAAAATCAGTCAAAAAACTAGAGACAAGACTAGGGCTGTGCCAAATATTCGTACAGTTAATGAATATTCAAATAGTATTTCCCGAATTAAAAACATTCAAATGCAAAATTCATGAAAAGGAAGGGAGAATTTTCTTTTGTTTTAAATGAGAAAAACTGCACTATGGAGGCTTGTTTCAAGCAGATTCAAATGAAAAGGGACAAATCTTATGATTCAAAAAGTAAACTATTCATTAGAAAATTTCAAAGGAATAGAAATTTTCAACAGGGCAAGAAGTACTGTTCATCTCTCATTAAATCTCGCAAAATCGTGGATGGAAATACTCCTAGACTTGAGAAGCCTTAATAGTGATTGTAATGTACCAGTGCATGTATTATTGCAACTGATTTTGTATATGGTTTGTTCATAAACAATCTGCCGGTTGGTGTAACCAAATATTCGGATATTCAAACGAATTGAACGTCAAATATTCAAATAGTGAATCAATCGAATTGACTCAGCCTTACACAAGACTAGACACATCAATGTTACACAGTTACCAGAATGCTAACAATGTGGTAATCTCAGGTGATCATGGGACCAGTTTGTTTCACGTGGATACAGATCGTGATCCGTTCTCTGACACCAAAACCCACCTACTGGGTGAAGCGAACCAGCGATGGGATCACTGATCGAGGTCCAGATCTTTGGAAACAAACTGGCCCCAGAAATCACACTTACTGGGTTAGCAACCATGGCTACTGTTTTGACTCCTGACACCGATGTCAGAGAGACTCCGACCTGCTGTGATGTTAGCTCTGCCGAGGATTTGACGATGATGGTCTGAGGGGCCGGCGCGATCTTCTTTGGCGTCGTACTCACGGTGACCTTCGTTGGACTCTTCATTGTGGGGATGGCGACTTTGGTCGCATTCTGTTTCATTGGCGATGCCGAGGTGATAACCACGCCTTTTGGAATGACCACACCCTGTTGGGATGGCACCACGCCCGGCTGGGCGATGGGGATGAGCTTAATGGGAGACCCGGGTGGTATCAACTGCCGTCCGCTGGATGTTTGGGCTGTCCCAGGTGTCACCATGGTAACTGTTGCGGTGCTCAGCCCTACACTGGTGGACATGGGCTGTTTTGTTGTAGGGTTCCGTGTGATTATGACCTTGGTCACCACCTGACTTGTCGTCGTCGATGGCATGCTGCGTTTTACAATGTTCTGTATGGTCTTCCCAACCGGCGACCCAGGAGGCAGAGTTATGACTTGGGCCGGGTTTCCGCCTGAGGAGACCCTGACTTCGGTTGGCGTGCTGGTGTTTGATGTGGTGCTCTCGCTGACGGCCGTGATGATGGTGGTGGTGGACTGGGCAGCTTTAGAAGGGGACGACGATGCTGTGCTGGATGACTCGCTGCTGGACATGGCGATCAGGTTGTCCAGCTCGGCCTGGATGACTGCCACGGGATCGGCCTTGCCGCTTCTGGTGGCTTCCAGTCTGGCCTTAGCTGTGCTGCTTCTGGTCTGGGACCCCGGGGATGACATGGCTTTAACGTGCTGATTCAGATCACAGTACGGTGTCAGGCAAGCGTGGTGCAAGACTGACGGATCATGAGACAGCTGCTGGTGAAAGATTGGTAATGTAACACTCTCTAAAGTTCTTTTATCATGATCAACTTGATATGGGGCAAAGTCTAGACACGACGATTTTAGAACAGGCAGAGGATAATGGACTGTGAACCTATCCCTGATATGCTTTTCTGCGGGCATGGCAACTGAACGTGTGCAGCGAGTGTTTTCAAAGAGTCAGACATTTCACTCGGACAAATATAGGCCTAAATGTATTAGACCACTTGATTTGGGTACTATGAACAAACTCTTTGTTCTGACCATTTAGGACGAGAACATGATATCAAACATTTTCAACATTATCTCAAAATATTCTTTTCTCATTAACTTTTCATGAACACAAAATTGAGTTTTCGTTTTCCATCTTAGACCAGTGCCTTTGAATCTTTTACAGATTAAGTGCGCCTTATAAGTGCTTTATTATTATTGTTATTATTTCTGCGAAAAAGAAGTAAAATACTAATAAAATACCAAAAATAAAATATACAAGTAGTTAGCGAAATTTGACCTAAGTTGTCATTCACGTTTTCAAGTCGGATGTTCCACACTGATCATCAGCTTCAAAGCTGATCTTTTATTTAGTTTTCTAGAAAATTTAAATTGGTTATGAGTTACGTAGGCTTGCAGTTGCACCATGTACAAGAAAATATCTCTTTTGAATTTTTTGAGTGTGTGGTTCTGAGAAGAACCGAGGGTGGACACTCGACGTTCCGAACAGTATGCTCTGTTCGTCTTCAGGAGCGTGATTGGTTCAAGTCTTATCTAAATTGGTTATCTTTCATATTTAGACTGTGCACTGCTCACAGCTTTCCAAATAGGCCTATGGGAAAAACTTTTAATTTGCACGGACAACAGACATGTAGCCTATGATGTAACTGTCATGACAGAAATGACCAGAAAAATGACGGATGTGATGAACAATTAATTACAGGCAACAGTCAACGGTGGTCAAACATGCGTGCATATTTTGACCATAGAGGCACACATCGAAAAAGCTGGATGAGTAAGTATCTGTGCACACAATAATAATTAATAATGAGGCCTAAACTAGCCCAACTAGTGTGGCACGGACTCTCACTCCCGATCCATCCTTAGCCACATATCTGTATACGCGATTTCGTGTCGGCGTGTTGAACATTTCGGCACACCCACTTATCACCGTGGGCGCAATTTCTTTTGCACGCGAACATGATTCTTGACCTTTCCGCTGTCTAAAAACCATTTATTGAATGATTTAACTCACGTTATTGAGGTATTTTCCAGTCTTTTTGCCTTTATCCATTCAATCTAACGGGCTCGCTCTCACAGTCGCCATCTTTAAAATAGGGTCGTTGAACATTACGTCACTTGACCCCTCATCGTCTCGACGGCTGTTCCATGTCAAGACATACGTAATACATGGACTGAGCGATAAGATACTACATGTACCAATGGGCTCTTCCAAAACTTTGGCAGCAGTTTAGATATCTTGGCAAGGAACATCTGTCGAGACGATGAGGGGTCAAGTGACGTACTGTTCAACAACCTTATTTTAAAGATGGCGACTGTGAGAGCGAGCCTGTTAGATTGAATGGATAAAGGCAAAAAGACTGGAAAATACTGTACCTCAATAACGTGAGTGAAATCATTCAATAAATGGTTTTTAGAAAGCGGAAAGGTCAAGAATCATGTTTGTGTGCAAAAGAAATTGCGCCCACGATGATAAGTGAGTGCGCCGAAATGTTCAATACGCCGACACGAAATCGCGTATACGGATGCGTGGCTAAGGATGGATCGGGAGTGAGAGCCGTGCCACACTAGAGGGCTAGGCCTAAACATGCATCGGCCTGGCCATAACTTGTATTGTAACTGGTGGAAACCCCCACCATTTAGCAAAATCCCACACACTGCAGGTTCACATGCCATGCATAAGAGTAAGACATTAACTTAAGTGATACTGATAGGCCTAGCTAATGACTAGCCTAAACATGCTAAATCATTTTAAATGAGTAATCATGATGTAATGTGGACGTCATCATATAGCCTATAGAAAAATGCCACAGAAAAACTGGTAGGGCCGATAACTTGTATTTATAAGGTAAAAATTGCGGGCCTAACGTTAGTAAAAGTGGAAACTGGTTCCCTTCCCTGTCCGTAAACTGGGCAATCCCATCCCTGTCCTAGACTTAGAAGTACTACTACTAGTACTAATGGAGTGACCTCTATGTAAAGGAAGCGAGACCCATTATTAACTGCATGTGCTCACCGCTCCGGATGAGGGATATATTGAGGTCAAAATTTTCGAATTAAGATCTATTTCTTTGCAAAAGAGTGCTTAAATGAAATATTCATACCACTAAGAAAACAGATCTATATTTTGATCAGCAGAAGAGGAAGCCAATAATGAAGAAATTCTCACCAAATGTGCAGTTTCCCATTGCGTTATTTGTTCAAAATCACGCGCCCGACCATTACACGTAAATTTGGCATCCCATAATAATCATCATTCATTACTGGCTAGGTGTCAAAGGTTAACCTCTTTCCAAATCAAACACGAGCAACAAAATGAGCTTTTATATTCATCATAAACAAACTTATATTTAAAAAAAAAACAAAATTAGTGAAAAAAGAAGTTAAATAAAAGTGCCAAAGGTATACAATTTTGGTATTACTTTTTTGGCAGTTATTTGTCTTCCTGTTCTTTCATCTGTTCATGTCCGTAGGCTTATCGATTATCTCGGGTACGCCACTGCTGTAGAGCTGTGTAGCATACACTATAACTACAAAGCCATTGCCGGTGATTCAAATGGCGAAAAAGGAGGGAATTGGAGTATGTAGCAAAGAAAATGAAAATAATTATAATGCAGACAGCTATGTTACACAAGCATAATGCTGCCAAAATACCCGAAAAATGAGGCTTGCTAGAGGGCGCTGTTCAAATATGTATGGCCACAGACTCGGATGGCCGTCCTGATGACCCAGACTAACTATCCACACATCATGTACATAGCAACAGCAATATTCAGTGCTCGAGATAAAAAGTAGACTTAGCCTATGGTTTATTTTCAGAGTTGTCTTCGTTTTTACGTGTATAGTTTGATATCAAAGCAGTCATATGCCCGAGTCAGAGGTTATGGAGGCTCCACAGATTTTTGTGGAGCGGACACTGGCCCTTATCAAGCCAGAGGCGGTAGATAAAGCCGAAGAAATCGAAGAAATTATTCTTCAATCTGGCTTCACCATTTTGCAGGTAGGACTTCGGAGACGTGCGCTCAATGAAAACAAAGCTCCATGGCCAAAGACCTATTCACCTACCCACCTCCATGATGCATAATCCAAATTGAAAATTACATGTACGCCTACAAACCAGAAATTCTGGGATGCCCAAGAAACCTTTATTTTCTCTCAAATACTGTCATGACTGTTAATTAGGAAAGAAAAAATTAGGAAAGACTGCGTCCATTCACTTTGTGGTTGTGAACAAAGACTCAAGGCCTAGACCATATTTTCAAAGTAGCCTAGGCCTAGGCCAAGTATTTGGAATACTTTTTAGTCCTAGTTGAATTGTTAATGATAAAAGTGGAGGCAGAATAAAACGTTCTTTCCAAAACTAGAGTTGAAGTTGCATGCAGGAAGCTGCTTGAGAAGTTGAGTTTTAAAACAACAAAATCCTTTCTTGAAATGAAAAAACCAAAGTAAGCCTTTGGCTTGAACTTCATACCCCAGAAATGTTTTTGACTGTAAATAGACCTAACAGCCAAGAAGGTTTATCTTCTAAGAAAATTCAAGGCTCAGGTGTAAAATTTGTGTGGATTATTATCGCTCACTTAACATAACAGAAGCGGCGCGTGCATCTGACCCCGGAGCAGACCAGCGATTTCTACGCTGAGCATTACGGCAAGATGTTCTTCCCTTCACTTGTTGCCTACATGAGCAGTGGGCCTATCATTGCCATGGTACTGGCCAGAGATAATGCCATCGCCTGCTGGCGAGAGCTGTGTGGGCCAACCAACACCAACAAGGCCCGGGAAACACACCCGGACAGGTAGGGTGCTGGAATTCATATCTGTCTCATATTAACGTGTACAGATAGTGGCATAACGTGGACGCAGGTCCCCCTCCTGCTCAAAGCCTGTCTCTCTCTCCTCCTTACTCTCAGAAATTGGAGGGATAAAAAATTGGCGACAGTCCACCATGGTCAATGTTGTAACTATTACCGAACCCATGAAGCGCCCCCCTCAAGGAAATGAGGCCCCCCAGTCTCTCCCCCCCCCCCAAATAATTCCAGTTATGTCTCTGTTGGAAGATAGAGGGGACAGNGTCCTCCTCCTGCTCAAAGCCTGTCTCTCTCTCCTCCTTACTCTCAGAAATTGGAGGGATAAGAAATTGGCGACAGTCCACCATGGTCAATGTTGTAACTGTTACCGAACCCATGAAGCGCCCCCCTCAAGGAAATGAGGCCCCCCAGTCCCCCCCCCCAATTAATTCTAGTTATGTCTCTGTTGGAAGATAGAGGGGACAGTATGCACCTTTATAAATGAGACCTCAGTCCTGACCAGCTCCCACAAAATGGGTCGTAAGGCCAGTTTGTTCAGTGCTTTTTTGTCTTAAAAATATCAAAATGAGCTCCGTGTATACTGTGTCAGTGTTTTCCTCGCTCAGTGATAACTGAAATTTGTTATTATTTGTTGGTTGTCTTGGCGACAGCATCCGGGCTCTCTATGGCACAGACGACCAGAAGAATGCCGTCCACGGAAGTGACAGTCAGTACAGCGCAGAGAGAGAAATCAGATTCATGTTCAATGACAGTAAGTCCGGATACCAGACCTTACAAGGAAGTTCGACCCCAAATGAATTACTTTCCGGCACAAATCAGTGAGATACTTGAAAATCAACGAGTGCACATGGTTAACGCTTGAATTTGGGCAACTTTAACAGTAGTCTTTCTTTGAGGAGGATGATGGGTATTTTTGTGCATTGCTCTCATGCAATCTTGCGTTGCCACTCTTTTATTTCAGGTATTGTTGAGCCGATCCCCGCCGGGCAAGCTGCCAAGGATTATCTGACCAAAGTGGTCAACCCGACGTTGTTGAGGGGTCTCACAGAGCTCTGTAAACAGAAGCCCGAAGACCCAATCGTAAGAAACCCAACCCGTCTATCTATGTACCTCACAATCTGGATTCCCAAAAATCATCATAAAGTGTTTTGGCCACAGTGTTTAGCCCAATCTTGTTGGCACTTTGAAAGAAACCATTTATTTGAGTCGCACTGCTCTGTTGTTTTGTTGTAACCAGCCAGTCGTTCGGCAGTTAGTAATGATCATGTCGCATTTGTTGGGTGCAATTTGCCAATGTGCACCGTTGCTTGATCGCTTTGCTTGATTGGCAATCCTGCGTGACATCTCCGCCTTTTAAAACTGTGACCCAGAAAGAAAGGCACTACGCTGATGGCAGAACTATTGACAAATTGTGCAATAAGATCAGCTGACCACGCATAGATCGAGCTATTGCGCATATCGACCTACAATAAGTTCAAATATGCTCTAAAATAAAAACACTAAACAACGCCACGATCTAGCTGAAGGCACATGAAGCTGCCTAAGTCAGCCACCAAATGACCCACATCTGCCCATGGAGCATAGCCGGGGCTCACGAGTTTTGATTTATTGCAAACTGATTCCGACCTCAAGCAGAATGTAGAGTGTGAGACAAACTACACAAAAAAAGCACTAATTGAAAAAAAGCATCACTTGTGATAAACTTTAAGATAAAAGAGTGACTGTCGATCATTTCTGAGAGCTGTTGGTTCTTGAAATGGGTAACTCTATGCAACGCTGGGTTAGTTTTGTGGGCACCTGTTGCACTGAACATGCTCAGTATTATCAACATTACTGTAACTTTGTCCCAACGTTTATTTCCCAGACGTGGCTTGCCGATTGGCTGATCAGCAACAATCCCAACAAGCCACGGATTCAGGAGCAGTGTCGGGTGGAGGAACCCATGTGATCACCTTCCCAATCCTCACCGAGACGCCAGGAAAACTATCAACAATCCAGATTCCAAATTACAGTCCTAGAGTTCGGGATAGCTTCAGGGAAGGTTGGATAGGTGGGCCAAAGCAGAAAAAAAAGGATACCTCTATTTGTGCTGAGAATTGAAGCCACATCCAAAGCATGTGGCTGTGGCTAGAGGCAATGCATGTTTCTATGGGGAATGCATAAAGCCACCAGCTGTCAGCCCCCATAGAAACGTGTGTCATGATCAGCCGTAGCGGTGTAATTCAGTCTCAGCCTTAGGCCGTCAGTAGTTAATTTTGTGGTTTCCATGTAGAGTCAAACATTGAACCAGTTTCATCCATATCAACGACAGGGATGGTACAGTAGTAAACCTGATCAAGTGCCCTCCGATTTGCAGGGTAAATCCTTCTCATGAATCGTTGAGGCATTGTGAATAGGGAGCGTTCCATTTTGTCAGGTGTTGAATTTCTCACCTGTTCATCAAAAACTAGTTTAGCTTTGACAGCACAGGCACCGGTATTTCAAGGTCGAAAATGACGTAAAACTGCTAAAATTGTCTGCCTGAAACTGTCTGCTTTAACTCCAGACTTGGCCCTAAATTTTCCCCGACCAAGGTGAATCAGGTATGTGTATTATACAAGGAAAAAGTTCCGAAAGAAATTAATTTCTGATTGATAAACAAGACCTGCCAAGAATAAATCTATTATGGATTTGGCCGACAATTTTACTGCGTCAATGTGCCCACAAAAGTTTACATTCAATTGTTTAATATCTTATGTACCTGTAATATACATGTACGGTGTTGACTTCTTTTTTGTAACATGTCTTCTTTCATGTTCGAAGTTTGATAAAAGTGATGTAAAATAAAGACAGAGTATGCGTAGCTCTTGCATTCTTATTTAAACTTAAAACAGAAAATGTTCAACCTGTTTCTTAAAAACATTGCACTTTGCTGCAAGCTTTCTTATCTAGCACATCTTAAAAATTCGTTTTTCATGGTGAGAAAGCTTGGAAATAATTTTTTAAAGTTTAGTTACGGTACTTCGATCGGTTTCCAGCAGAAAAGATGCGGTTGTGTGGACTGGCTTTTATCCCTGTGGGATGCTCAGAGAGGACTGTAAAAAGTATATGTATTACCCATAACATGACTTGCTTGTAAATATTGTTTCCTTGTTGGTTGCTCAATAAATACTGCCAGAAGAGCATCTGTTTTGGAAGGTGGTGTTTTCCAGAAATATCAAATTATTAACCTTGGTAATCTTGACTTTTATTTCCCCAAGCAACAAGTGCCTGATTTACATCACATTACATGCAAATATGCTGCAGGTCCAGATAATATATATGAGTTAAGGTATAGATGTACAGAAACGAATAAGTACATAACTACATAGAGGCTTTGCGTGGTAGCCATCTTGCAGGGCAGTTCTTTGGGACAAAAGCACTGGCCTGCAAGATGGCAGCCATGCAAACCCTCTGGGTGCATTCCACCAAATGGTTGCATTTCTGCGCGCGAGCTCATTAATATTTTGTGATCCCACGGATTTTTTCCCAATAAGATAGGCCATAATCAAAAGGCACCATAGAAATATTTCTATAAATCTCGAATTTAGGACTGATAGCCTCCAGTTCAGGGTATTTTTTTCACAAAAAGCCCGAAATTGCGGACCTATTTTGGATAGAGGCGGGCGGTTACATTCAGAAATGAGCACTTAGTTTTATTGCTATTTTGGGGGTATCTTCGTTCAAAGGCGAATAAAAAAATTTTTTCATGGCTAATCCCCATGAAATTGAAACAAAAAGTGATCTGGCCATAATCTTGAATTTCCAGTGAAAAAAACGGAGGCCAACCTCTTCACGAGAGTCAACAGGCGGCGCTATTTCGGGCGTGTATTTGGTGTAGTGCAACCCTCTATACAAGCCGAACATACACATCAAAGCCTGCTTGGTAAAAGCGGCTCCAAATACATTATTACGGATTCCGAGCCTTGATGATTGGTACAAGTATTCCTGTCTGAGGCAAAACACCAACTCCGATTTGACATCCTAATTTCCCAACTCCCAAAGCCTCTCAATCTACGACAACCAACTTTGCAGCGCTCTCCGCGCCAAACGCCCTATACGTCTTATTTCTTCTTATCTGCCTCACGCGACTCCTCCCCTTGTACGCTTCGAATGTCCTGATTGGTCAGCGCCTGGAGAGCGGCGTTTCCGATTGGACAGATCTTGGCCAGCAGCGGCGCGGCGGCAACCAAATGGAGTGGCACGCTACTGATGTCGTCTGCGACCGCCCACAGAGCCACGACGCCGTACGCTCCCCAGTATACGACTAGGGACATCAAAACCAAAACGCAGGTCTGAAAAAAAAGACATTAAATAATTATAAAGCACAAATTGTTTTCCTTCTTTAACAGTGAACATAATTGCAATGCATCAACAAAATCAATACGGACATAACCAAACATCAAAATGAACACGGACGATTCGCTATTAAAGTGCGCCTCCAAGAGTTTACAGCGCGTTGACCAATCACAGTGCGCGAAATCTGTCGAGCCAAATGCGCGTTTGGAAAGGGTGATTGGCCAACGCGTTGCAAACCCTTGGAGGCGCCCTATTGTGAATCGCCCGTATTCATGTAAGCCTTCAAAGATCTGTGCCACAAGTTTCACTAACGCAGCCTCAAAAGACGCGATTTTCATGTCATATGATACATCATCACAATATTACCGACTTCCAAGAATGATTTTAATGTACCGTAGCTGCCTGCATCTTGGCGGCAGTTTTCTTCGCATCATCTGCGTCGCCTCCTTCCCGCAGTTTCACCAAGCACCACAGGATCGTGCCCATGGGCAACACGTAGACCGAGCCCATCATGGCAGCCAGGTAGGTCACATAGTTGGCGCCGTGGGCCCCGAAGTCCAGCATACAGGTGGTCTTGGGCGGCTCGATGCCGTAGCGGCCCCACCCGACAAAACGTAGGGGTGTCAAGGCCCAGAAGACGGCATTCAGCCAGATGGCAGAAGTGGCGATCAGATACACCTTCTGGCCTGCATCCACGCGGAAAACATTGAAATGGAATACACCATCGCTTTTAGATGTCTTTTTTTTTCAGGACGAAACTATGGTGGTTTATTATAATCGATAAGAGCATCAATGACCCCTTCTCAAATGTGTGAAAGAGACTTTCGTCCTCATCCACCCATATCAAAAAAGGCCTTTTTTAATAATGGATTTTCAAATAGAAAAGGCTTTCCTCTTTTCAGAAATATCGAATCTGAACAATATTGAATAAATTTGTAAAAAAAAATCTTATTCAAAACTTTTTTCAACTGAAATTCATAAATGTTCAAGGTAACCACGGTGTACGTTGATACAGGATAGCTTGGTAGGCTTACAGGCTTTAGTGCTGTGAATGTTTCATTACTTTGTCCCTACCTACGCGGTTTCCAATGGCCGAATGATACTTCTCCACAGCCAGGGACACCAGCGAAGTTATGCTGACTGTACCAAACAGCATACCAACGCAAGCGTACAGCTGGCATCCCTGCTCCCCGTACGGCCACACCTCTCTGAAGCTTGCCAGGGCTGCAAAGGGGCACATCAGCCCAATGCCTGAAAATAACACATTTCACACAATTAAAAATCAAAAACTCCATCCACAGTTCCAGGTTCAACTAAATTATTTTCAATGCCATAAGCCGTGCTATGATGTGTAGTGCGTGGTTGGGGTCTTGAGTGCAAGGGGTCCACCCAGTTGACCCAAACTGGACATTTTTTCCTGAAATGATCAACATTTTTTCATCTTTAAATTAAAAGAACCCGTCTTCCCCTTCCCCAGAATGGCGGTAGTACTATTTTTGAGAAAATTGGCAACTTCTCCCCTCCCCCCCAAAAATGAACACACCTTACTGCTTCCCCTATCTCGCACAGATCCTCAAACACTTCGGGGCTTACCGAAATCACCTGCGCAGAGCGACATACCAAGGAGAGACGAGGGCTTGCGAAGGGATTTCTTCGTCACATATAGAACGAAAAGAACCCCGTTAAGAAGCATGCCAAGAACACCTACAAAACAAAGGTCGTTTTATATAATAAACAATTACATTTGAATCTCGTAAAATAATGCAGTGGCCGAGATATGACATCACAAGCCTGTACAATATTCCAATAAAAATCAAGCGAACTGTACAATTACAAAATAAGTCACAATGTGAACGAGGACGCCAAAATCAAAGACGCAGGTGCAAGGATTTACAGATTGGCGATGCGAAGAGAAGGAGCCGATTTCATCTAAGAAACAGCGCAGCCATGAACATATAAAACAATATTATCCACCATGGTGATTCTCTCGTATTGACAGAGGCAGGTGCTAAAAGGGCTGATTGTCACCGATAAGGATTGCGAGCGTGAATATTTTTCCAGTCTCGCCGTTACTTCGTGAAATGATACACAGAATGCAGAGTGTAAAATGGAAAGATTCTTGTCTGAAAACTGAAGAAAACATGTGAATTGCGCGATAGCGTAGAGTTTACTCCCCCTATTTTGCAAGTGATTGTTAATTCCTTGTTGATGATTGAACGATTGTCTTTATTTGCCACACTTCGTTACATTAAAATAGCGATGTGTTGGTGAGGTACTCTTCAAAACTATACACGTAGCTTTTTCCAGTGGACACTGCATCGCGGGCAAAGTACCCGCACATATTCAGTATTCAATCGAACTATTTGCGTCCGTCCAGGCAAAATGACCAGCGTGTTTTCTTAAAAAGCTTTTGACGCTGCAATAAAACCGGGCTTCAATTATTTAATCTTAAAAGCTCCATAATCCAGTTCCGGTTTGGAATGGGTCCTTAAGCCTTTGAACATTTCATATACTCCCATACTTAATGCCTAAAACCGGATGCACATCTTCCATTTAAAAAAATGGTTTAGCTGTGTAAAATAACTTTTAAATTTACATTGGCAGGGTGATCCATGTTTCAGGTGCCTGCGTCTAAATTTCATATTTTAAAGCGATATAATTGTGTAGTAATTCTGATTGTGCTTGAGCTTTGAAAAATTTCCATTAAAAAAAAAACACGATACGCTAACGACGGCTTTCTTCAACAATGTTAACAACACTGGCCCCCAAATTTGTTCTTCCCTTGAAAAAATCAGCCCATCCATACTGCTCGATCTAACCGCTGTGAAAATGACATCAGATTACTGCATGCATGGAAATGTGCACATAAAAATCAATTTTCAATATTTACAGTGTTAAGGTCGTTCATTTGGCAGTTGGCTTGTTCTGCTCGTCTCATCAATCGGTGCCAGTACATTTAGCGTTAAAAGTACCAAGACATTTTTAATTGGTCCTTTTGAGCCCGCACAGCTGTAACTCACCCAAGTGTGAACTATTAGGAAAAGAGGCTGAAGAATCGGCCTGATTGTATCAATATATCTGAGTGAAATTTAGCCACAATTTAATTACAGAAATAATGAAATCCTAACTTAGCCTGAAACGACAACCTCTGTATCAGGAAAAGGCAAGCAATATAGCAGATAAAGACAAAACCAATCATGGAAGTCATTATGCTGTGTTTGGGTGTGTGCCACAGTGACACCCCCGGTGAGGAATGGAATATTCTGACACGCCCCCTCTGCGGCGACAGTGCAGATATAAATACTGCGTACCTCTCCCGGTAGCAACCTTATTGCAACAAAGTCGTCAACTATTGATTTCAAGATGGCAAAAGTCTACGCCTGTGTGATATTGCTGTTGGGATTGGTGGCAGCGGTGCACTCCATCCCAAAGAAGTGCTGCTTTCCCGTGATGCAAAGCTGGATGACCGATATTGGTAAGCCAAATAGTTCATTTCCTCACCACAATTCTCATTTTTTCGGATTTCCTCACCCTGTCCAGCATGAGTCATCAACCAACAATCATAACATCTTCGTGATCAACGATCATGACACTGCCATGACGCCCTCAGTCACGCTTACTAACTCAGAAGCGGAGGCATCACTCCCATATAGAATTCGATGAAGATCCGAGTTAATAAGGAATCGATTCCTGTCATTTACAGTTGCTGGAATAGTCTTCAAGAATAACCAAATCTTTACGGAGACCGCCACCTACGGCCGGGATACCCTTAACGGCCTGCAGGGCTCATCAAAATTCTTCACCGACGTCAGGACTGGGGTGGTGTCGACCGTCCGCAAAGTCCAGAAATACGAACCAGGGGTAGGCGTGATAGTGTCGGCTTTAAGCCCACTCACACAGATGTCCACACAGATGTCCACACATATCAGGGAAAAATCATTCTGTACACAAACATGTTTGGTCACTTTTACATGAATCGCATACTTGACTATATATGAGAATTGCTGCAAGTTTAAGAAAGCAACTAACGACTCCAAAGTACCTTTTGTGACTATCGACTCCCAAGTTTAACATGCATTAGGACAAACTTGGTTCATTCTTTTATTGGAAATCGCCACTCTTAACAGATGGTTACTCGTTCAAATATCACTGAGACTGGACATGGAAAGAAAACCTTCGAAAAAAAAGGGAAGAGCGAGTATTAATGTGTCAAAAGGATAAACAAAAATCCCAGGATATGTGTTTGAGTTTTGTTGAAAGAAGATGATGCAGAAATGTAGAGGTTAATCGGTTCTTATTCCATCTTGCTTCACAGGTGAACGGTACTTTCAAAACTTGGATGATCTACGACGAGAAGACATGCACTATTCAATTGAAACCCTCGGCTATTCAAAATTGTGTGCCCGGTAAGAAAGCTTGTTTCACTCCATTTTTATCGCGTTGACACGCCCACGTATCAGCGGTACCGAGTAACGGCAGTAACGCTTAGTGAAAACAAGAGGCCGGGCTTTCTTTCTTCGCTTGAGGCTTCACCACGCTAGGAACTTAGGCCCTTTTTCCATACTCAGCTTCGTCTCCGTCTCAGGCTTCGTGTAGGAAACCAATCCTCGATTGTGGGCCTGAAGCGTTTAACTTAAATTAAAGTACTGTAATGTTTGGCTCTTTTGCATCTTACTTGATGCTTTGTGGCACTATCAGACTTACTATTGCGCTTACAACATCAAAGTCGGGTAATAAAACACAGTTGAAGCGGGAGATGGAGCCCAAGTCGATATTGGAAAACGGCCTTAGATAGTCATCGAAAAACTCACTTTAAGGTTTTTTTCGCGAGACCACGATGAAAAAGAACCCATTTCTTTGCAGACTTTCCACCGAATACGGACACCTGGTACGGCGGGTCGTACAAGGCCGACGGGCTGACCATCGCCCGCCGCCAGTCGCTCTGGCCGGACGACGCCAAGCCCGGTGACCGGCTGAGATTGGAGAAGACGCTGTTCGTCGCCCCAGGATGCAGCCTGGCCAACTCGCTGAAGATTGACATGGAGCCCGGTAGTAAGTATCCTCGTTGTATGTTGTCACAGATCAGTAATTTTCAACTGTGACTGTTATGCTGTATGAGGCAGCGTTAATTGAAACTGTCGCGAAATTCATTTGTCAGTTATGAAGACCATTTTTTAAACCAAAATGTGGCCAAAAATGAGACGTTCACTTGGTTTTAATGGAAAGTACATGTGGAGGATAGCTGATCCTCACTAAGACTTATACTATGATGAAAAGTAACAATCACCGCTGTGGCATTTAGCGATGGCCAGTTACAGCGACAGTAACATTGACAGCGACAATTATGTTGACTTGCTATCATCTTGAGAGTCACAATAACTAAGTCTTCGTCGTGTTTCCGAACGTGCTCAAACACCATGTTTATTTTACATTTTGTTCAGAAACATTCGCGTCTTTGGTAAATTACGCCAATTTCCGCGTCATAAAGGACCCGACGGAATTCCGTGACTTGTTTGATGTACCAGACTTCTGCCCCAAGGAGGTGCCGGTATGTACATTCTGGGTGTTTCGATTCCTGATTGCCTAACAAACTTCTCACGCATGAACTGCCATTTAGTTCTGTCCAGTCTCAAATAATGAGTATCACAAATATTTTTAAAAGGGACAGGTGGCAGGTGGCTTAAATGTCACACGTTGACCTTAAAGGCTATGCCTTGTTTTTAGCATTTAAATCCAAGTGTATCGGATATCGGTTAGTAAAGCGGACTTTTCGTCTGAATGAATCCAAGCTCATGAATTATTCGATACTGTCGTTCCAAGTGTATCTTTATATGACTCGCCAACTGTGCACAATTTTGAAATCTGATCGAATTAAGCGAGATGCTAAAAAGACGCCCTCTGACGTGCAGTCAACGACACGTAAGGGCCATGACGTCATTTAGAACCAAAATCGTTCTCCAAAAATTGTCTTGCAGACTTTTTAATGACTTCTTAAAAACCAATGATTCCTTTTCTTTCTTTCCTTTTACCACTTTAGGTTGCAAAGAGCAGCTAAGGACGCTGCGGTGTTTGTCAATTGTCTTTTGCGTGTAGAGAAAACCACCATTATCTTCAATTGCTGTCACGTGATACCGTGGACTTCACTATTTAATATTCGACAAATTTGAGCTCTGGTGAAACAAGGCCTATTCTCCAGGTTAATCAATAACATCGTTATGTGATTGGCAGCCTATATTAAATTTGAGTTTTGGGATTGAAAAAGTCGGTTATTGGTGAACGAAACATGCCTTATCGAAAACGGTCACCAAGATAAAAGGAATTATTTTGCCAATTTCTTCGAAGATTCTTTGTACCTGCTGAAGGTTGCGGTTTTCATTTAATGAGAGTTAATGATCTTACTGAGTTAATACGTTGTATTTAGCACCGTGTTCCTCCAAAACTTGGGGATATCACTAGTTGATGCATAATAAGGGAAGCGAAAATTAATACTTTTACTCAAGCAACTTCGGGAATTTAAGAAAAACAATTAAAATCTGCAAAACTCACAACTTGAAATGAATTTTCTATTTCGACACAGTGGTAAAATAAATACTGACGTGTGTGTATTTGCAAGAATGTGTAACTGTTTCAATTATTGTCAGGCACCTGTTTGAAGGGAGACTGCATTGAACGTTATTTCATTCTGATAGATATTTCTGTCCCATAACTGGAAGCAACAGTCAAAAACGTCTTGAAAGGCTCCTTTTCATGTAGTCAAGAGTTTTGCTCATTGCTATAGGACCCTTTCCGTGTATCTCTTTATCCGTTTCACTATGATCCCTCGAACATTATAAGCCAAGCCTGATCGCCATCCCCTCGCACAGCGCATGCCAAGTGCATGCTATGCATACCATTTCGTCATAATGAGGCCGAATTCAGCACAACCCAGCTGCCTTATCCTACCTTCTACGACGAGCATGAGACCCATGGTGTAGTACTCGGATGGGCCGAGAGGCGCGGCGTCTTGCTGACCCGGCGGGAAAGCACCCGACGCCGACTCCATGACCGATTTGACCTGTGAAGGAAAAAAAAAAGCTCTGAGAGAAAACCAAAATCGCACGAAACTTTTCAAACAGTTGACTGGTATCAAGCAGCTTGTTAACGAGAGGGTTACTGGGATTAAGCAGATCCTAATTGTTACAAAGGGGCTAGGGAAGAGACCAACGAAAATTTGGACTTTGGACTTGAGAATTAGCTCTCATACGCCAGCACAAAAGTGCACTTCAAATAATCAAGACTCGGCCTCTTTCAATCTTCCATTGGGTTCTGAAATTGGATTAGCTGGATTAAATTGGATTTGAACACTTCAAAATAGTATCCCGTGCCTCAGAAAGAGTGTCTGGGGACATTATGAGGGGTCATCGAGGGTCATAGGCTGAGAACGAATGAAACAACAAACCGGTCGATTTGAAGAAAAATAAGCCATTTTGTTTATTTTTTTGGATACGAAAATATAAACCGTGTATGAAAGCATCAAATAGAGGACGAAATCAAACATTTCACATTTAATCTCAAAGTACTGCGTAATTCAAAACAAGTCCCAACCAGAGCCTCTAAAAAGAAAAAAAAGACTAAGGTTAGGGTTCAAACATGGAAAATAATTCATACTGGTCACCAACTGTGCGGAATTTTACCATGCGTATAAATCGCCAAGATCGATGCCAAGTATTATTCCGGCTTGAATGGACAAGAACCCTGCATACATTCTATCCAATCTAGGCCTACCCGTCGCTTCATGCACTGCACTGCACTGCAGCAATGAACAGTAATGCACTAATGAGCAAGAAAATGGCCTACCTCAGCCAGTGGGATCAGCACAGTACAGTGCGTGGCACACGAGGCGATCTTCTTCGACCCGCTGGTTGGCTTTGTCAGATACTTCTAAGCTTATTGTTTAGACGCGCTGGTGCTCGTAATGATACCTTCAGTTCATTCTTCAACGAGGAGCGAATGCCTAAGGGCTCAGGCAAAGGCGTATTTTCAACATCCCGTGTCCACATGTGATTTGGAAATTTTCATTTCAATTGTCCCTCGTATGCTTTTTACACGCTGTGGAGAAGGTACCCCCGGGCAATGTTGTGGCATTGAAATTATGCATTCTATTCGCTTCTACGTCATTGTGACAGCAGGTTCACTTCGCCTCTGTAATTTAGACTGGTTCACTTGCCCTATCCAGTTGAGACTTCACCAAAAGGGCAACAGAATTAGAAGGGGTTGTCTGGAGGCGGATCCAGGAATTGGGGTGTCGAAATTTTTCGAGGGGTGGGGGTACTGGTCGCTGTTGTTGAATCCATTTAATCTCTGTTTCATCCTCAACTGAACACGCAAATATGACCCAAGGGGTTTATGCTTTTCAGGGCGGTTTGCAACCTTTAGACGTAGGATGTAAATCTATGCTGGCGGGTTGGGGGTGGGAAATGACCACTGAGGGTGGGAGAAATTTATCTAATGCTATGAAAATTCCTGATATTATTGCTCGACTCATACAGAAAATGTACACCTAAATAGGTCTATTAGTTTTTCCATTAAGCTACAATCCCAGCCAAATCTCGCTGGAACTCCTTCCCCCGTGCCCCTCCTAAAATTGTCTCCCTTTATCGGGCGGTCTGTGCTCCGACTGCAGACAACAACATCTGCAGGAAGCGGGGAACCCAGGAGGAACAGATGCTGTCGTGTGACGTGTCCTGACCATCTTGACCGGCGTTGCAGCAGCTCCTCGAAAACCCTGACGCGAGCATTTTTGACAGTCCGATATTACAGTTTGGCGCCCTCTGTTTCCCGCTTAATCTCGCGCGCAAAGGAAAAGTTACGATTGTAAAGTCGTTTTACGGGGCACTAAAAATCTCACTTAGATTAGAAACTAATATCAAAAATGATTTAACGGGATTTTTTGAAGAAAAAAACTGAACAAAGCCAAAAACCTAAGAGATCTAATCAAAAACCTAATTATCAAAATCGCATTCCTGTACATACATTTTCAATGGACCTTGCCACCAAGGCCATTTGTGAGCATTGTGTGCGTAATTATTAACTTATTAGTAAAAAGGTCTATTAAAATCACGTGGCTTTTTCTATTGCATGCATATGCTTTCTGCTAACCACTGATGTGAAAAGCGCTCCCAGTTCTTTCGTTTCTCGGCCTCCCCCCCCCATTAGCCTCCAACAAGACACAACTAGGTTCACAATACTTCCAATTCTTGAACGACGGTGACAAATCAGTCGCTCAACTGAAAAAAAAAAGGAAACCAGCACTAAAAGGATCGGGTGTACACATACACGTAGGTGTGTGCATGTTCCACTCTTCAAGGGAGCCTTCACGTAGACTATCTCGGGGACCGAATAAAAAAAAACTACAAAAGGGGACAAAAAACATTGCAGGGGACCCCTAAATTTCTTTTCTCACGTGGAGAACCAAAGCCCAAACATGTTCGTGAGATTCTCCTTGAAGACAAAAAGCTCACTTCTCCTTTCACCCGACAATGAGAAAAACTCAACAAAGTAAATTTAAGCCCTAAATTTCTTTTTTTTTAAGGAGAGAACCAAACCCCAAACATGCTCGTGAGATTCTCCTTGAAGGCAAAAAGCTCATTTCTCCTTCCACTTTGACAAACGACAATGAGGAAAACTAAAAAAGAGTAAATTTAAGCAACTTTTATATTTTAAGTCACGGTTTTCAAACACATGTACACATTTAAAACAATTTCATTTGAACTGGTTCTTCACACTTTATACATTGAACACAAGGTGATTACTTGAGAAAAAGAAATAAAATGGTAATAAAGAAAGGAATAATACCTATCACGTGACCACAGATTCGGGAATATAATTTATTTTTACGTGTTGCTTAATTAAACAGAAAACACATAAAAGGTGAATAAAAGTTCGTAAGGTAGGCAGGCTCCTCGAATCACAATTTTCGAAACACATGTATTTGAATTGTTACAACGAATGAATTTCGAAAACTCGTTGAAATTAGTTATTACGTACAAAAATTGAAACGCAATAACAAATCAAAAACAATAATGCAACTACATAAAATAAAATACAAAATATATATAATTGAACGTTCAGTGATAACTCTGTGTTACGGCACATTTGCTGAAATTGTTCTTAAACGTGCTTTTGTACAGATTTACATAAAATGATCCTAACAGAATTGGAGGTTAAAGGACATTTTTAAAAAGTTCAATCGGCTGCCAATTAAAGGTTGTAAATTTCAAACATTATAAAATGATCTTTACAATACTTTGAGAAACGATGATAAATAGTAAATTATAGTGAACGTCAAGAATCACGCCAGACTGTTTTTTTAATGCAATGCATGATTGGTATTCTATTATGCACAAGCTATGGTAAGAATTTACAGTTAAAAACTGACGAGTTTTTAGAGTTCGCTTTTTTAGTTCAGCCTGAATTACAACATTTAATTGCTCAAATATGATATATTCATGAAAGGTATCAAACAAGCGCACAGAAACTCATTCAGCAATATCAGTCACTATTCTTGACTTCGTAAAAACAAGATTACTTAATGGCACTTCTGCTAAAAATTCCCATTTTTGTGCGCATTGGCAGAAAATCAAACAAGTTTTTGCCGCTAGTTGGCAGCAAACACATTCAAAGCAAAGACACAGAAATAACATGTAAGGTAGGCATAATGTTTCAGGCGGAGTAAGCGCTGATAATTTGGAAATGATACAGGATCAAGCAGTGGTTGGAAATTTAGAGCATGCACGTACATGGACAGTTTGGTTAGCTATAGGTTTTTGCCAAAGAAAGTATTTAGATGTCGCGGTGCCCGTTTGATTTACCATATGGTTGTTATAACCACCAGCTTTTCCCATCTCATCCAATTCACGAATAAAAGTCTGTACACATGTAATACCAAGATAGAGAAACGTATTTACGTCATTTTGTAAACATTTTATACTTAAAACTGTTTTTATTTTAGGCAGTGTACTTAGCTTGCAACAAGGCCATTGCCTTTAGGCATCACCAAGTCTGGGTACCAGCCGAGATGGCGGGATCCTGGCGTGTTCTTTACATCAAACAATTATATACACCGATTCCAGACCAAGCCGCGGCAACCATTCGTTCTCGGGGTTCAATATACATGTACATTATTATAAATTACAGTGTTCGAAATAAAGGCGTCCCGTTCCAAAACAGTCAAAAGTATATAGTACAAAATAAGAATACTAGGTTTCTCATAAGCAATGAAGTTTATACGGTTCAAGTCTTTGATATACACGACCGTATTACTGTCCTTTTCTTTCAAGAATTGTAAAACGCAGCATCCAAACTCCAGCAACTGTTCCCTTGTCTGACATAACTCTGAAAAAAAAAGATGGCACGTGGCTCTTTCCATCTGACCTGTCCATATAGCATTAGCGCCCTCCTGTGAATCGATTTAGCACCAGTCGCAGTTCGCAATCGCGCCCTCTCTCGATCACAAACGTCAGAGTCGCTCGGTCACTTCCCGGGTAAAAGCCGAGTCATTTTTGTCTCGCCAGTCAGACTGTCACGAGGCTGTCGTCGTTCAGGTGGTCAGTACTAAACAGAGGGCGCCCTTGCTGGAGGCGCCGCGTCGTTCATACGGCAATTCACGCTACAGCCGGATAAAACGTCTCCAACCTAAAAGGAGTCTTTACATCTCCAATCAGCACACTTTCTTTGTCGTGACCCTAGCGCTTCTGTACGCCAGCGTCTGTTTGCCGAAGCTATTGACGTACACGTCGAAGATGTACGTCGTGTCGGGCGTCAGCCCGCTAATTTCCTCCATGAGGACATCCCTTTCCACATCGGGACCACTGACGGGCCGACAGATCACCTTTTCAGTTCTCTTCCTCATGTCCGGCTCGAGGCACTGCCTGTTGCGGCCCCGGGTTCGCTTGGTTGGCTTCTTCGCCTGCTTCTCCACCCGCTTGTACAGGCAGTACTGGGACACCTCCTTGGTGCTCAGCCAGGCCAATGTGACCGAGTCGCACTGCCGCAGGTTCTCAAAGACTTTGATCCGCTTATCGGCCGGCAGCCGGGGGAACGGGTACTTGTTAGGCCGGGTGGTGGCGAAGATACGGAAGTGCGTGGACCCCCGACGCAAGCTCTTGACCTTGATCTGGATGTCGCCCGAGATGTCGCGGATCCAGAAGTCCTTCAGGTTGCGGATGTTCGAACTCCGTATCTTGGTCCCGTCCCGCCAAACTTCGGCCTGCACGGACTCAATGCAGGGCTGAACCGTCACCATGACGTCTTGCACCGTCTCCCCGACGCTAAAGTCGAAGGTCTTGACTGGGGACGACTTACGGACTGAGGACGTGCGAAGCTTACCGTCCTTGAGGGTAATGTGTTTTCTGATCTCTGGTCCCGGTCGGGTGATGATGGAGGTACCGATGTACGCGACGCTTCTGTTGTTGGTTTCGTCCACGGCAAACAGGTCAAAGTAGTACCGCTTGGCCGGCTCCAGGTTGGTGAATGTGTGAAGAGTTTTCTTTCCCACACACTCGACGATGATGTCGTCTTCCTCCTCTCTGTCCCGTCCACGGCCTTCCCTCTCGCGATTCCGGTCTCGCCGGTGCTGACGTCGCTCAGCGCGCTCGCTCTCGAAGCCGAATCCTGCGTGCTCCGGCTGGGCTGGCGGCTGGTCCCCGTACAGACAAGACTGCACGCTACACCACGTGTGGTAATTCTGCCTGGCGTTCAGCGCTACGCAGTACACGATGGGCTCACGGTAGATCACGTCCGACGGGCTCGGCTTCCAGGCCAGAGACACCTTGTTCTTGCGGAAGGAGGTGATGTCGAGTCGGGGATCAGTCGGCAATTCCGGATACAGGTGATCCGAATCCGGCGTGGTGGTGGCGTAAATCCGCACGCTCGTGCTCTTCTCCGGACTCTTGATCTCCAGCGTGTAGATGCCGGCTGGGGAGCTGTAGGTGACGTACGTGCTGACGTCATAGCCAACGTACGTCTTCACCACCGTGCCCAACTTTGTGTTGGGATGACGACGAGGGCGCTGTTCACTTAACTGGTCGTCACCTATGCAAAAAAGAGATAGGCAGGTACATGTATATTATGCTTCACCACTTCCGCAACGTGGACACCACAATACACAAAGAAGCAAAAGCGTGTGCCACAATACGGGCGATTCACAATAGCGCGCCACCAAGAGTTTGCAACACGTTGGCCAATCATAACGCGCGAAATTTGTCGACCCTTTCCAAACGCGCATTGGGTCGACAAAGTTTGCGCACTGTGATTGGCCAACGCGTTGCAAACTCTTGGTGGCGCACTATTGTGAAACGGCCGTATTAGCCGGGGGTCACCATTTCGTTATCTACGGGCACTGCCTCATCACCGTAGTCGACTCAAAAAAGTACACGGCAACTGAGCAATGTCAAGGTCGCACTTTTAACAACTTCATCGGTTCGGTTCCTGTTTGATAACCGTGTTTTCTTGCAATCTGCCGGCATACTTACTGGAGCCGCTTCCGTCCTCTGGCAGATCCATCAGTGACAATGTCCAGTCCAGTTGAGCGGCGCACGGCGTGACTGTGATAGCCACGGGTGCGTTATCCTCCTCCACAACGAAGTAAAAACTGGACAGAAAAGAGAGCCAGAAACCAGCACCGTTAAACAAGCGGGAAAACTGATTTCTGCTTTGCTTGTTTAGGAATACGGGCGATTGACAATAGTGCGCCTCCAACAGTTTGCAACACGATCAATATGCGCGAAATCTGTCGACCCAATGCGCGTTTGGAAGGGGTCGACGGATTTCGCGCGTTGTGATTGGCCAACGCGTTATAAACGCATGGAGGCGCACTATTGTGAATCGCCCGTATTCTATAAGATGACTTTGACGCACACGCTGCTAAATCGGAACGTCGTGAACAGCAACAAATACACAGAGGTTTTATTACATGCGTTTCAAGTTGCTATCTCAGATGGTCCACGTTACCTCAGCTCTGCAGATATGAAGTCGAAAAGGCCGCATATCCAATTTACAGGGACCAAAAGGTGGAATATCTCAGCGGGACAGGCCCTGCAGATTGAGGGCTACAGATCAATACGGGTTATAGGTGAAGTCCTGAGCAATGCAGAACCATCCCGTTGCTGAATTCATGCTGGTATTTAAGTATTTGAAGCCTTGTGCAAGAAGGAACTTCAAGGCTGCGATTTCCTGTAACTGACCGGGACCTAGATTTAGCTCTAGACATAAGGCTTGGCTGGTCGGGTGCACTGTGTTCACGTATCGCGTCAAGGAAGCCCTTACCTCACTGTAATGTACATGTACATATACGCAGTCACATTGACTATGAACCTTGACCTACAGCAGTCAAGGGAAAGTCAAAGATGACCATTGTGCATTTACTTGGGTGAACTGGTGTGCACAGCAAACTCAGGTCGAATCTTCAGCGCCCAGGCGCACTGAGTCTGGGCAGATTACTGCATGGGCAGAATGGCGATGTGACCGTTCCCAGTAATAATTGTGTTCTTGAGCAGGACATCCACAGCTCGCATTCTTGCCTAGATGCAACAAGGGTCGCGCTGTATGTTCAAGTTCAGCATCAGCTACTGTAAGCGACGCGCCGATTACCAGTAAAGTTACCAGGACGTTTGTTTTCAGAAATGGGTGATTTCGGGAGAGCTTTCGTTGTTGATCAGTGTGCATTAAGGTGAAGAACCTTATTAAAAAAATGTGCCCCTGTAGTCAAACTCCACGGGAGGACTTCTCTCTTCCACCCAGCTCAACCATCTCTGCCCCGGCTGTAGGCACTTACACGATGCTGGCTCGATACACGATGTCATTATCGTGTTGGCACGACAAATTCGGACAAATTGCCCGTCAAAGGGCGTCCTGGCTGATGGATCAGGGGCGCACAAAAGTGCAGGGCGCGGGACGACCCCACCCCTGGGGCGAGCAAATAGTTCGCGTGATTGTGCCGAGTAGTTCACGGCGGGGTGACCTGACCAGTGCATGGCTGGTTAAATCTCTCGGCAGTATACTGTTATGCGTTCGTCGTCGAAGTCATGGCTAGACATACCGCGTGTGGGCCTACCCTCACAGCCGCGCTGAAGACGCGTCGACGTGGACTCTCGCATTTAGTTTTCGGTATGCAAGCTAGCCGCGATTCAAGTCTGTTAACTGAGGGAACGACCACATGTACGGCTTTTTGTGGGACTAAACATACAGCTCACGAAATGCACTGTACACTGTCTAATGACAGTACTGCTCTGGTCTCTTTTCAAATCAGATAGGGCCTACCTTCCTACATCAAATCTGCCAGTGATATTTGCCAGTGAGGTCATTGCTTATCATGATAATACCGACTGGTTTACGTCTAGAAATACACTTCAACCAAGTTCAAGCGATTGCACAACTGATGAAACCTTTTCAATGGTCTGGTCACTATCTCCTAATGCCTCCAGGTTCAATTCAACTATGTATACTTCAAGCTTTACCCACGACTCAGCCATGACATTACACGAATGACTGATTCTAGAGAGCTCCAATGCAGCAAGTTATATGCTGCCCCGACCCGCCAAGAAGCACCAATCTGCAGACGGGAGGGAACTTGACTTCTTGATAACTCAACTTCACATCTGGTGATCCGTGACAAATCTACCACAACACGGAGGAAGTCCCTCCCTATCAACACAAACACAAAATGGCCGTCGGGCACATCACGGCCCAAATCCCGAGGATCTTGCCTCGACGCAAGATAAATAAACGACGCGTCGATTGCCATCCCTCGCCCCGACCTTTGCGCGTTTGACCCCCTGGGCATGACTTCGCCAGTGACATATCATAAGCGCGCACACGACAGCCGTTTCAAGTGCAATTTCTACATGACAGTAAACTCGGCGAGTGCGTGAAAGCATTACAAGGTACAGTCCCAGCGTCCCAAACGTTTTCTTGCTCCAAAACAGGAAGTTTTGTCAGGTTTTAATATTCTGATATGTGTGATGTTTAAACGAAGCCGGTCTTGCGGTGAAAATTAACATCACTGTCAATCTTGGCTTGTGCCTGCCGTTAAAAGTCCTTGAGAATATTTTTGATGACATAGTAATTGGACAACTGGATTCGAGCAAATTCTGTTGCAAACAAGATGCTTCCGCGCATTCGAAAGCACAAGAAAAAACACGCACGATTTTCGAAGGCTAATTCATGAGGTCAGAGTTGGTGCCCGCCACACGGGATGTCCCCTGAGCAACGTCGACGTAACGGAGACCCAAATGTCGGCGGCGTCCTATCCATCTGAGTGTCAGAATAAGAAGGCCGGGGTTGCTTGCGTAAAACAAAATCTATAGTGCGCAGACTTTGGTCGCTCTCCAAGTTCAACAAATAACCCGTGTCTTGCATCACGCCATCGACCGATTCGGTGCCTCTCGACAGTCAGAGGGTAAGTATGACACAGATCGAGCTTTCACAAAATGCGTCCACGGTGACCGAGGGACTAAATTCGATTGTGAAAAAAACCCCGCTCTGCTATCTAGGCTTACATCTCGCCCAACCCTGGGCCTCAAATGTTCCACCTCTTGCTGCGTGATTCGTGAGAGACAATTCGCGGCCATTGCAACTTCAACGGGACGCCCGTGGGTACTGGAGGTTGTTCGTTAATAAACGCGCGGTCTTTCTCCGGAACGAACCCCCTCAATCTCTTTAAAAGTTTGAAGTTTCGGGAGATGGCTATAACACTCTTTTTTGTCCAAATAAACTCGTCAAGCGCATCGGGTGCAAACCATAATAAATCAGTACTCAGGGGCTTTCTCGAAACACTCAATCATTTTTCCAAATTATTTTTATTTAAAAATCGCCCATACCTCTGTGTTACGGGTGAATAGTGCGTTTACATGTGTTTCCCCGAAAGGATTCCCCCAAACCGTGACCGACTACAGAAAATAAACTTTACTAATTATTTTGATAAGTGAATTATTTTGTGGGTGATATTTTTGGGGTGTTGCACAAATACACTTGTCCATAAGCCAACTAACTTTCCACGAAGGTCTGTAGCTAGGAATTACAAAACCAAACAAACAACAAGCACCGCATTGGTGGAAAAGGAGGCTACACTATTCTTACCACAGGCAGAGCGCGAAGTAATTGCTGGCGAATCGATTAACTTTGTCCATCTCGCTTTGACCCCACTGGAACACCCGGTCACTTACTCCCTCCACTGGGCCCGGGCGAGCAAGCGGGTCAAGGCGGGGCCAAAAATAATATTTGCTGGACTCCCGCGGGAGCGATTTTTCGGCATATTTCTCGCCTGTCAAAGCGCAGGCCGCCCCATTTAAAATATTTGCTTTACCCGCAGTTCGGCGATGGGGCCTACTTTGAGCGGGAGCAAGGGGGGGTGGAAGCAGACCCCGAAGCCTGGGTCATGCTGCTAGAACAAAGAAATTTGCAGAACGCTGTCGCGACCGGATAGGTTGTGTCAAGTTGTGTGCAAACGAACATATGGTACAAAAATCACATTTTGGCTGGAGAGAGTTTAAAAGGCGGAGTGCTTGCACGATCGCCGACGGATGGGGGTGGGGGGAATCATGATGTCACTCAGGTGTGCTGGCCTCTTACTGACCCGTGTCTCCCCCCCCCCTTCGTTTGAGATGCGATCAACACCCGTGACGCTTTGTACTGGTGTAAGGGGAGTCTAGCTTTTTTATGCGGAACACAGTCTCAAATAACGTGGGTATCGATTTCTGTGAGAAAATCGCGGTAGATATGGCTCCGCGGAAAACCGAGGGCACATGAAGGCCCACGGTACGATTTCCTGCTCGGATATTATATGCCCAACGGTAAAATAGAATTAGACACAAGTGCATAGGTACTATCGGCTTAAGATAACATGATTGAGAATGCATTTTATAGACTTTAAATAAAGCCAGGAATGTGCTAACCTTTCGGTCGAGGTATTTATATTCAGGGAGGGTGGCCTATTATGTTATTTGAAATACTCCGGTGATAGGTTAAACTGAATTGATCACACTAAGAGAGTCAACTTACAATTTACGGGTGCCTTTGAAAACGTAACCCTTGGTTTCCGCCCCGTCCGGAAGAACCTTGGTGTCCGCTACGGACTCAGGGTTGGCCATTTGTAGTTGGAATATTTCTTCGTCTCGCGTGGGGAGCTGCTGCGCCCACGACAGCCTGGAGAAGGAGACTACCAGAAACTGCAGCAGAAGCGCCATTGTGACGGTAGAGGGCGTGAGACGGGGCGACGTCATTTTCTGTGAGCGTTCAGTACGAGACCTGTGGATTTGAGTAAACAGTCGAGTAATTACAAGCAATAAGCAATTACGGATTTAATCGGCAAGTATTGCTCATCCGTCAAAAGTCCAATAAACAGGAAGCTGAAGGAAAAATCGACTGACAAGTTAGGCATCGAGATGACGCGGAAAACATCTGGGTTCAGGTCAATCGTGGTGCCGGATGAGAAAAAAATAACCAGGTCAAAAGTTAACGAGTCAACCAACTAAAAGTGAAATGGAAAATGTGAGTATGACGTAAACTATTCTCGCTCGTAGATTCGGAAGCAGATCATAACAAATTAATCAATTCAATATTCCATCTTTGGACATCAGTCGACGACAAAATTGGACTTCCTAGAAGAATCTGATTTTTGAATTCTGTTTAAGTATTGAACTGGACAGAATGAGTGATGGTTGGAAAAGAAGTTCAGAGACAAGACGTGAGTTGAACTTCACCTGCAAGTATAAGAGCGTCAACTGCACGTTGAGGCAAGCAGTGGGACAGGTGGTGGCCAGATCATTCTCCTTGACATTTGCTATATATAACACGAGGACATGGGAGACACGACCTCATTAGTAGCGGCTAATTGGTCATGATTGCACCCAATTACTTCATGCTTGTTAGTCCCTCCAAGCACGTGCCAACCGAATCCTCGTTTTGAACAAGTACATGTCACGTGCTATCGGAACACGGCAAGTTACATTTCTTTCAAACGAAGCTATGAGGATGGAAAGAGAGGTTATGATTTATATGTTGGACTTTTCTTACTTTGATTGAAGGTTTCATAAATTTTAGTTGTCACGATCATTGACAGGTTAAAGGTAAAACTCAACATATAAGCCCTCTGAACAGTGAATGTGAAGGTTATGGCTATGGCTTCACGTTTTTGTCAGTAGGGCGATACGGAAGCTATCCGTAGCCGCAATGTATATGACACGACTCACTCTGGCACAGTTTCTCAGTATGATAAACTGTTTGCAATTTGAAGAACGAGATTGGTTGATTGTGTCACAGTGAGTAGACATCGAGACAAGAACCCTAAAGCCACAAGATATTTCCTTGTGGTCCAGCACAATCAAACAGAAATGTAGGGCCTAACAAGATAAGTGATGTTTCTGTGAAAAAACTAAATGCTAAACATTGCACTGTGACGATAGGGCGCGCCAGGACCTCAGCAATACAAAGGATCAAACCTTTGGAAATTACCCTTAACGGGCGAACAGGAATCGTACCTACTTACTTCTCTTGTTGTAGACTGTTCCGCTGGTCCTAGCCTGTACGGGGTTGACCGCGAAACGACAAAATCGACTGGAAAACAAATCGCATTGATAACACAAGACAGAACACTCCCGAACCCCGACGAGACAATCGGTGTTCCCACGGACCTCTTTACGTGACAGGGAGACGCATCTTTGGACCAGGCTCAGGAAATGGTAGTTGTGACGGTCTGAGTTAAAGGCGGCCTCCCTGGCGTATCTAGCGCGCTGCAGTGCGCAGCCGAAATATCGTCAAGAGGGCGAGGATGATACGGGCGCTCAATGTTGCCGTCAGATATTGAAGAACAAACTTCTACAGGATGGAAAAGAGATGGTCAGGAGAGCCCCGGTAAGATGTTGATTTCTATGCTGCTGCCTTAGCTCTCGTCACACGGTGAAATGGCCTAGCCTCTACCACGCCGGTGGCTATTTACATGGCGCGCTTAAGCCCGGGCCTGACACGTTGCCCCAAGTCGCACGCACGCCAGCCTGAGAACCGTGTACTTCCGGAGATCAAACCCCATCACAGCATCCCGTCCCGGAACATCCGGGCGAGTCTGAACGACGACTCCAAACCTGGCGAGCAGGAGCCAGGCCCAAGACTTTTTTCCTTTGGTCTTCCCAGAGGAAAGGAAATGCAGAGTTCACTCGTGTACAAAAAAAATAAAATAACAGGAAAGCCGAGCGGACGCCCCTGGTAGACACGCTGGCAACAGGACGCGATGGCGGGCGAGGGACCCGCTAAACGCCCTCCGCTACCCTCGCGTTCTAACCGGTTTTGACATCTCCCGCTGATGACCCATGTGTGCTGTTGGCAGCCACTCAGCAGGATACCAGCTGACTGAAGTTCGTCAGCCATTACGACATATGTCATTACCACGAGGCATTATAAAACAACACTTCGCGCACCAATTTAAATGTAAATAAAAGGTGAGTTTAACCGAATGACTTCTCAGTGAGACAGCAACGAAAGAGAGCCGAGCCATTTCTGTCTCATCGTAGGACGACGTTTGTGGTGAACTCATCAAATTCTAGGAAACCAACAAAGAGCAGACGCATAATTTTGACACAGTAACGGGATATGGGCTTTCCTTCCGGCTAAACGTCCCCGGCCACGAGATGACCGTCCGGGTAGCGTTCGAGCGGCCCTCTCCCTACCGGGCAGACGGCGCTGCGGGCCAGGCAGGGCCCTTCCGTCTACCAGTCGCCTAGTATCCGGGCAGTCTCCCGTCGTCAAATACCGCCCAGCGATGGGTGACCGACGCCCGCCCTAGCCTCGCTGAATTTTCCCTTCCTTTTTCAACTCGGCCGCGTAATTGTTGAAACACCTGACCAAGATGTGCCCATTATTTCGCAATTAACATGTTTAATAGCATACAATTTATTCTGAAATGAAAAAAATCGTACTTATACACCAAAAAAGTTTCACTTTAACTTCAGCACAAAGACATAGCGAATGAAGACATAAATAATAAATGCCATACATAATCTCTCATAATCTCATTTCTACTGCGAGAGTATAACTCACAGCATAAAAAATATGACACCTTTGTGTTACATTAAAACTTCGAGTAGGCCCCTACATCGCGTAAGGAACATAATCCTCTAAGTAAGTACCGGTAACTCCTCTAGCCAAAGCACCAAACACTGAACGTCGAGAACATTGGTTACCACCGTGTCTGGTTACACACCTCAACAGTTCATATCTCGCGCTCACTTCTAGTTCTAGAAGTAATTGCCCGGAGTTCAGAGCAGACACATAAAACTGTGTTAAAACCCCGCCAGGCGTCGAAATACGGGTCTGCTCAATGTCGAGCGTAAATCTTAAAAAGAAATTCAAAAATCAAAATACGGCAATGACAGACCGCAGTTATCAAACCATTTGTAATTTACAACTGCTCGCTTTTACAACCAATCAACTCCCCTCGATAAGAGTTCCGCAGTTTTCGGTTACACTTTCCCGCCAATTTCCAGCCCACAAATAACGCCCGTCTAGTTCCCGCCGGAGCACCGCGAGCACCAATTTTTGATTTAAGCACTCTCTCCTCGGCGTGGAGGGTTTTTCCCTCGAATGCAAGGAGAAAGAGCCGACTCCCTCGTCTGGGGCGTTCTCATTACTTCGTCTGCCGTGGAAATTGCCGGTAACGTATCTGGCGTTCGCTACAATTACCGCCTTCACGAAATTCCAGTCCTTCATACACAAGACATTAAAAAAGTCTAAACAGCTCTTCCGGTCCCTACATTTCCAGCTTTTAATCAAAATGCATGCCTCGGCTGAGGGATGTGTTAAGGCTCGGATCTGGTCGCCTTATCTTCCTGTTTTGAGGAAAATTGTCCTTTGTACTTTCTGGGGCACGTAGAATTTAGTTGAACATTGGCGTTCAATTAAGCCTTCGATATGAACGTTACTTGTGTGTGAATGTGTTGTAAGTTTCGCAAAACTCCTTGTAGAAGGATATGCTAAGATAAAATGGCAAAAAGTGAGTTACAGAAGGGTGGTGCTTTCAGGAAGTAGAGAACATTGCGAAATGCTACCACATCTAATAAACCAAACACATAATATTTCATGGAAACCACACATCAAAACATGATGACAACTCCGAATCGCACTTAAAATAATATGGTTTGATGCAAGGCAGCTGGCCACTGGGCATGCTTATCATTTCGTGACAACATTCAAACCTTTCCTCGGAGATATTACAATCGGGGGGAAATAAGACAGAAACAAATCAAATTTCGACTCAATAGACAATTCTGTAAAGCAGGCATACGCTCGGCACAGCAAACCCGCCCCGTTCCAACACACACTTGTGCCCGTCTGGAGGCACGTTTCCTATCTGGGGGCTGACCGAAGTTGACACGTCAAGGGGCCACGCTAGGTGAAGGCCTTTTCGTCTCGCTCACGTGAGGTGCAGATGTGACTTGAAATTAGAATAAAATGCTTGTTGATCTCGCTAGTTTCCTTTTGTCTTTATAGGAGCGTAACTCCAGTTACTCGTGACTGTCGAGTACTTTTATAGAACCCTTGGGGTACTCAAAAGCTGGAGAAAATAAAGATCGTGAGTGAATAAGGCGGTTGTAATGGCAATTTGAAAAAGCTCTTAATAAAGCCACGTAGACAAAGATTTCGCAAACGTTCTCGTTTAGGTTAAATACTCCAAAATATGAAAAAAAATCAACATACACGCGGAAATACATCGAAATTCACTCGAAAACTAATAAATGTTAGGCATTTTTACCTTATCCCTTAATTCTGAGGAAGGCAGAACAGCGCACAATTTGCCGATTCGTCATGAGTTTTGCTCAGGCAACAAATCAATCCATAGCTTGTTCCAACCAAGGGGCCCAGTTCAAATATCCTTATGAAATTTTAAACACTGTTTTGGGGTCCAGGCATAGTTCTTGATTAAAACTCGGTTTTGGAAACAAGCACCACCCTTCAACTTTTTTTGTCTCAACAGCCTTAACCCTTACGGAGAGGGACTTGGGTGTGTAAGAGGCTGTACACGCGGATATAATACAGTGCGCGCCATCTTCGCTCACTACGGATTGGGGGTGAATTGGGGCCAACTGGGTGGATAGAATGTAGGCTTATTAGGGTGTCGACAACCCCCGTTTATGGGTGTCAGCTATGTCGCGATGTCGTCGTGCCCCGGGTTAATGGGCCAGACGAGCGTAAACAGGCTATAAATCAGCCTCGTAGATACACCTGGCCCGGGGGAGGCCCCCGAACCGCCACGATAA